TAAAAGTCTACAAGTTAAAAGTTCTAGTACAAACTGAAAGGAAAGACCATTTTAAAGTTTCTGTTTTTCCATCAACTTTAGTAGAACAAAGACTACACCACAGTTTTTTTCAGTTGACACTGAGTTTATATGAGAATTTCAGTCCAACCAATTAATTGTAGAATAAATTTTATTCTGAGATCAAAGCTATGTACTGTGATCTTGAGTATGCTTAATTAGAAATAAATCCCACTGAGTTTAATGGAGCTTAGTGTGTTTAGCATTGTAACCTTTGTTGATTATTATACTAATTAAAGTGACAGTCATTATTCATGATGTCATCTCTTGGTTGAAGTATATCTAAGGCTGTGATCCTATGTGTACTTGCCCCAAATCAGTTGAATGTACCTCCAAAGAAGCATGCATAACACTGGGCTACAAAAGGGGAGAGAATCAGGGATGATGGGAAATGTCAAAGGGCTGACAGTCTTGAAACAGTGGGTTTGTAGCTTTATTACATTATATTTCCAGTATAATCCTTCCTGTTTTAGCTCTGTTCGTGAAACGGAAATTCACATGTAAGGATGCAGTTTTCAATTCATGAAGAAATGAAACTTGCCTCCAAAACCAGGTCAGATCTCAACGAGGCTGGATGATTGCCATTGCTAAATAAATCAATTCGTTCTAGAAATAATGTTCATGGATGGGTGAATCTGCTAAAGCACCTCACACCTTTTTGAATGATATTCAAGCTGTCCGCAGCTGAGGACAAGATGTCCAGAGGACAGGGGAAAGAAACATGTGTAACACAGAAAATTTAGTGAAAGCTAAAAGGGGGGGGGGGGCATTTAGTGAGGATGAACAAATCAATTTTTCTATATTTTGAGGATGATTGCAAATATTTATATGGTTGGAGGCCATTAGATACAACTGCATCATATCCAACCAGTCCATACTTCAGGAAATAAAGCCCGACTGCTCATTGGAGGGAAGGATAGTAGAGGCAAAGATGAAGTACTTTGGCCACATCATGAGAAGACAGAAAAGCTTAGAGAAGACAATGATGCTGGGGAAAATGGAAGGGGGGGGGGCTTGAGAGGCTTCCCCCCCAAAAAAATTCTCATGGTGGTTCGCGAAAAGGCCTTACTGGTGCATTATTTAAACTGTTATGTTTATTCATATCATGATCTGATCACTATACTCAATATATCCCATATGCATGGGGGTATTGGGGTAACGATACAAAAGGTTTGCTAGGGTAGACCCTCTTTCACTCAGACTCAGCCCCCCCTCCGAAACAAAATCCTGGCTACGGGCCTGTTGCCGGGGGAAAGGAAGGAAAAAGGAAGAGGGGCCGACCAAGGGCAAGATGGATGGATGGTATCCTTGAAGTGACTGGCATGACCCTGAAGGAGCTGGTGGAGGTGACAGCTGACAGAGAGCTCTGCCGTGGGCTGGTCCATGAGGTCACGAAGAGTCGGAAGTGACTGAACGAATGAACAACAACAGCAACTGCATGAATTCTGCAGCATAGATGGACAACATACATGGGTGCAAACAAGTCTAGTTGCATCTCAGATTCACATATCCTTTTCTTTGGAAAGCACTAAATGCCTTTTTCTCCCCCTGGATAAAGTTATCCAGGGAAAATGTGGGCCAGAAAGGTGTCCCTGGCAACAACACACAGGTGGCAATTTTTGCAGGATGTCTGAATGATGACAGACATATGTAGCATATTCATGACTCAGTCAGACAAGGCAACAATGTCCATGTTGCAGTGAAAAGCCAAGCACAATATAACAATTATCTCAAGAACATGCAAATGGCCCAGGAATGTACTGCGTTGAGCATCTCAGAATGGCCACTTGTAAATATGAGGTAGATTGACAGTGTGGTCTTGTCCAAGGGGTGTGTTCCCCTCTCCTTTACATAGAATGAGAGAATGATAGAGTCGGATGAGACCACATGAACCACCTAGTCCAACCCTCTGGCATTCTGGGAAAGCACAATAAAGGACCCCTGACTGATGGCCATAAAGTAGGTCTTTCAGTAACCACACACACAACTCATGTCAGATGAAAAGCAGAAATTAAGGGTGTGTCTACATTGTAGAATTAATGTAGTTTGACAACACTTTTAACTGTCATGGCTCAGTACTATGGAAACTTGGGATTTGTAATTTGGTGAAGTACCAGAGGCTAAAGACCTTGACTCCATGACTCCATAGCACTAAATTAGAAATTGTGCCTTTTTTAATTTTTGGTATGCAGTGCCCATTCCAAATGAGAGTGTGGAATGTCAAAGCAATATGTTGAAGCCATGGAAGTTGTTTGTAGTAACAGTCTTAAGTCAGTAAGTGGTAGGATGTAATCAGATGTTGGTTGAATTTTAACGATTTCCGTCATGCTTTCTTTACCTTCTATTCTGATCAAGAGTTCTGAAGAATTAAAGGAAAAACTTACACAGGATTTTATGATTTTGCAGAGTTACTTTTAAGAAAGCAGGAATAGCATAACATGTTGAAATTTTCCATAACAGGTCAGCAGTGGCCTGAATCAGCCATTCTTTCGTTGCCCAATTAGGAAGAACTTTAGCATGTCACTACATTTATTCTTCTAAAAATATTTTCCTTTGTGTTTAACTAACAATATTTTGTGCTGCAGTGAGCAAATGTTGAGGTTAGGAGGCTAGATTGCCCCCCACCCCACCCCTCCCCCACATCTGCAAAGCTCCCAGATTTCCCAGGAACTAGGTCTGATTCTGCAGGTCTCAGGGCAAGGGAGAGGAATCTCAGGGCAGTGTGCTACCCTCAAAAATGTGCATACATGTTTTCTTCTCATTGGTTAGATTTGACATGATCCTAAATCATGCATACACAGTGTTGTTTGTGCTACACCCTCTTCTGTTGAAAACACCTTGTACAACTGATAACACATCTGTAAATGTGCTTACTGTTTCCACAATCCCAGTGAGTCACATTAAATGAACTGATGAGTAGTTACACACCACAAAGGAATAGGCAACTGCATGTACGAAAATTACATCTGTGGACAAAGAAATAATTAAATGCCATGATGGTTGCTTCTCATTGCAGCACATAGTCATCTGAATGGCAGGGATTAGTCTGATTACAAAATCTGATTATGCAACTGCAAACAGAATATGAATGTTATGCCACACAAAAAAAAAAAGGATAGTTACTTGCAAATAAAACACAAACAGGATGCCAGATATAGATTTTTTTTAATGGAATGGCGCATTGTATGTGACTGGAGTTAATGGTTATTTACTTACTTACTTACTTACTTACTTACTTACAACATTTCTATCCTGCCTTTCTCCACCCCAGAGGGGACTCAAAGTGGCTTACACTTAGGCACCGTTTTGATACCTTCAGAAACAATGTATAGTTAAAATAAACATTTAAATAGAATTACAAAATACATTAAAATACTTAAGGATATAAAACAGTGTCTTCACTGTTAACCATGTGATCCAAGGTCATAGTCTGGGCCATTCCAGTTGTCATTGCACATAATTACTTACTTATCTATTGACAAGATCTCCAAAGGCTTGATCAAAAAGCCACTTTTTCTTTCTGAATGATATTATAAATGCACCATGCTTTATAATATCATTCAGGGTTGAAACTACAGACCTACAGGCATCATATGAGGTAGTCTGTAGGTCCCTTGTTTTGACCCTGAAATCTTAAGACCTGGGTTTGTCCTCTGACCTGGCAACTCTTTTCCCAGGAGACCTGGGGGAGCCACATCCCCACTGCAGCCTTCTCACTGGGAAAAAAATTATTCTTGAAAAAAAGGCTGGGAAATTATTTTGAATTCAACTCCTGATTGGCATCCTGTTCGTGAGATTATAAACCAAATGCAAGTTTATGATTGCTAATGGTGGACATGACCTCAAAAACCTACTTTTCCAGCCAGGCAGTACTCCCGTCTGCTACCAAGCACAATTCAAAGTGCTGGCTTTAGTCTATAAAGCCCATAAATGATTCTGGCCCTGCTTACCAGTCCGAACACATATCCACCTGCTAACCACCTCAGAGATTAAGATCCTCTGAGCAGGCCCTGTTCTCTATCCCACCTCCTTTGCAAGTGAAGTTTGTGGGGATGAGACACAGGACCTTCTCAGTGCTGGCCCCCTCAGAATTCCCTCCCCAGTGAAATCAGGTCTGCCTCCTCCCACCTGACCTTTAGAAAGAGAGTGAAAACTTGGCTCTGGGACCAAGCCTTTGGGTAAAAATGCAATGCAGTAAGAGTAGAGGGAATGTGCAATCATGACTGGAATGGCCTTAAAAATGATTACAGATTGTGTGATCTTTAATAATTGGTTTTAATGTTTTATTGGGTTTTTAAAAAATTATTATTTTAATGTATATGTTTATTTTATCATTTCTGTTTGATAAGGCATCAAATCGCTTTGTATTGTAAGGCCACTCTGAGTCCCCTGCGGGGTATAAATACGGTAAATAAAGAAATAAATGAGATACCCTTGTGACCAAGAGAGTGCTGCAGAGGTTGTTCTTGACCTAGAGATTGGACATGCAGCCTGCAGATTAAGCTTTTCCCATCAATGTTAATGCTAACATTGAGATTTCCAATTTTTATTTTTAGCGAATGCACTTTGTTAAGTGACCAGAACATATACACTGATACCAAAGCATGAGAAGGTACTTATTTTGGAATATAACTCAGAATCCTCCCGCTAGCATGATCAGTAGCCATGCTGAAAAGGAAGCTTCAAGAAACTACAACCCTCCCAAAAGTAACTTCTCCAACTTCAGATCAGTACCCACACTTGTGTCACATTTCCTGAATATGATAGCTTATTTGCTGTTCTTCTGTAGGAGAGCTTTTATTCGAGAAACTGTTTCTCCTCACTCTCCAAGTTGATCTGTTAGAAGGATAAAGTATTTAAAAATTGAAGTTGCTATAGAAAAGTGCTAACTTATTTTTTTCTCTCCCCTCTCTCACACACATTTTTCTGACTCCTTCCTCCAGATTATAGACAGCGAGAATGAAGCATTGCTGGCGGCCCTCACCGAGACACTGGATGACATCCAAGGGGACGACATGGGTCTGGCCGCCTTCAGAAATATGGACGAGGGGGACATGCCCAACAGCGGCTGCATGTCTCCCGCCTCCTCTCCCAAACCTGCCGCCCCTGTCTCAAGGGGCTCTCCTCTGGCCCCCGAGGTTGATGAGCTGTCTCTAGTAAGAACCTACTTCCTACTGTTTAAGGTGGATTTGGATGCACCTCTGATAAGCCGGCTGCATGGGTATGATAGGAAGCAAAGGTCTGAATTTTTTCATTATAGGCTTACAATTATAACAATACAAAAGCATATATATATACCTGTTTATTGTATACGTATACATGTGCCACACCATTGCTGTCATCTGATTTGCTCTATTACCATCTTCATTAGGCGAGGGGGCTGAGAGGCGAGAAAGGGCAAGTGTGTGAATGGTTTAATAGCATCCCAATCTGTGTGCTTTGAACCTATAGCATTTTATTCCCATCTTCACATCTGTCAAAAAGTCTCCAAATGCCGCTCACCTGCATGGCTGAAGGCATGAGACAAACTGCATCTATTAAGAGTCCATTAGTTTTCCTGAGCATCAGGCAATTCTATCTTTATTTGAGTCTTCGTGAGTAAAGCTTAATGTGTTGTGCAATGTTCATTTGCTTACTGGAAATCAAAATTGTGTATTGTGACACTCTAAACCTAAGCTGTCAACTCCTAGATTATACTTCACTTTCTAAATAAATCAAGGGCCCTTTCACATGGCAGAGTCATAGACCCGTGATTCAACTTTAACTAGCATGGCTACATCCTTTGAAATCCCGGGACTGGCAGTGGAGGGAGAGGCATTTGCGGTTCTCAGCCTGGCAGCTCCTCTGGGACTTCTGACCAGTCCACAAGCCCCAGGATTCCTAAGATGCAGCCATAGTAGGTAAAGTGCAATCATGTCACTATAAGCATGAAAGAATTCCAGATCAAAAGACTACAGCATGCACTATTATTTGCCTGCTTTTATATCCCTGTAACTCCAAGTCTCCACTGGCCCACTACAGAGCTTTGTTTTGTTTTTGTTTTGTTTTTTTTTAAAAAAGAGCAGCTCAGTTTTAGATTTTTAAAATGAACGAATGCCTTCAAGCTTTCTTTCAGAAAAAAGGACATTGTGGTCCATGGTGAGTCTTGAAAAAAAAAGGGAAATAACCCCCTGGACTCGATTTTCCAGCCACACATTTGGGGGGTTTTTTTTGTTCAGAAAATTCAAATTCTACAATTTTTATTCTTCATACAAATGTAATAGGCATTTTTATGCACATTGTACAATTTCATTGTGCTCAAGCCAATCCTGACATAAGGCTCGTTGCTGTGAAAGGCACTGTATGTAAACCCAACCTGTAATGACTAAAACTGCAGTCTCATGCCTGCTTACCAATGGAATTTACTTCCAAGTAGACACATGTAGGGATGCACTGTACTAATCTGATTGAAATGTCTATCTGCCTTCTAACATTTGTTTCATCAAGTATTGTCCTTTGTTCCTGACTCCCTCTCCTTTCAGGGAAATTGAGGACCCATCTACACAGCCATATAATCCAGTCTGAAACTGCATTATATGGTCAGTGTAGACTCATATAATGCCACTCACTGCAGTTAAAACTGAATTATATGTGTCTACACTGACCATGGGGACTGAGGCTCTCAGAAAAGCCAAATTTTAAATCAAAACTATTCTGATATTCTCCCTTGAGCTTGTAGAATAATGCAGACCAAAGAATGGCTTCTGCAGCTGTCAGACTTGGGTTGCATATGCACTGTGGAATTAGTGCAGTTTGACACTACTTTAATGGCATTGTCCCAATGTTATTAAATCATGGTATTTGTAGTTTAGCGAGGCATCAGTACTCAATGGCAGAGAAGGCTAAAGACCTTCTAAAATCACAACTCCCATGATTCCATGGCATTGAGCCATGATAGTTGAAATGTTTTCAAGCAACATTAATTCTACAATGTAGATGCAGCCTTGCAGAGCTTGCAAACACTGAAGATTCTCATGATGCAAAAAAGTAACTTTTGCAGGCTGTGGACTAACCTGTAGCCCTGACTGTTCTCACCTCTCTTTGGCATTTGTTTCCACATTCCCTTTTTCTCCACCAACAAAGGTGAGCAGCAGAAAGGGAACACATACTCTGAATTTTCTTTCTATTTAATAAGTTAGAGATAGCCTTGGGTGCTTTTTTGCTTTTGCTTAGTCAGTGTTCAGAGAAGAGGCTAAAGGCCCTTAGCCCTTTATAACAAGCTACACCTTTCCCTTAACACAGCCTTGCTTTAAATGATCTTAGGAAGACTGATAACACTGGAGCAAAGGACTAGTAAAGCAGACTTGCCTTAGAGCACAGGCCTCAGCCTCCCATTCCATCTCTTTATCATTACAAACTTGTCATGATTTCTAAAAGTGTTATAGCTACATCTAGTGGTAAGAAGTATGCATTCTCACTTCTCACAACCAGTGTGCATGTGTGTGGGGAAGATGTATAATGTTTTATATGTATATATCACACAAATCCATATGTGTATATATATAGGATGTATACGTTGCAGAGGGAAAATATATAACATTTTGGGTTATTGGATACATACAGTACTAAATCCCCACAACTGTCACTTTGCAGTGATTGAGAAAGCAGGTGTTTGATGGTGGGAACTGACAGTTTCGATATCCATCACTTAATCTTTCAGAGCTTTTTGAGTTTCCAGACCGCCTTTGAAGATTTCTCCTTGCCATCAAATTCCCATAAGTGTCAAATTTGCCATTTTGTTACTGATCCTGTGTTGCCTTCAGTGTGAGAGCGTAGAATGTGGAATGCCTCTTTTTAAAAGAAAAGAAAAGAAAAGAAAAAAACATTTTAATGATGTAGCCAGGGCCATTTGGTTTGAGATACCAGATCCTGTATGACAAATATGAGCTTGCTGTTTCACCTAGAACTTCCTTGATGGGATTAAAGGACCACCCATCATGAAGGTCGTCTACAAAAGCACCTCAAGTAAACCCTTGACATTTGGACAGAATAATTAATTAATTGGAGCCCTTTCTGGAATGTAGCATCCAACCTGACTTGCTTTGTAGGAGCCAATTCCTAATTCATGGACAGCAATATATACCCATTAAAGTGTATGATGTTTTAGAATGTAAAGAGGAGAGGGGATTAGCTGCATTTCTCGAAAGCCAATGCCATCTCCAATTATCCATTAAACCTTGAAGGGCAATCCACTTCTCCTTATAACTTTAAAAAGGGGGTGAGGGTATAGGGTTGAAGCATGTACACCCAAGGACAACCATTCCCCAAGTCCATGTTCCACCATACCCCTTCCTGAACGAAAGTCATTGTCCCAATAGTTTTTCCTCATTTGAATGCTCATCCCATATTAGCTGAAGACTTGCAACTGCACACAGTTCCCTCCTGGCAACATTATAAGCCAGCATGATGTCAGTCACGTAAGAAGTCATCCTCTGTAATTTTCAGGGTTTTATTGTGTACACACAAACTTGTGTTTGTTTATTCAGGAAGCTCTCTCTTATCTATTCCTTCTTTTTGGCTTCTTGAGTACCCACATTCAGCACTGGTATGAGCACTGGGCTTTCCAGGTGGTGTTGGGCTGACACAGTATTTTTCAGTATTGAGCCACCTTGGCCAGGGCTGATGGCATCTAGAGTCTAAATATATCTGGAATTCCCTTGGTAATAGTGGGGGAGGGGGACAAAATAAGAACTTTGGACAGGTGACCTTGATGAAAGATGAGATTGGGACTAATCTTATTAAAGGCAAGGGATGTCAGGAGAAGCATCTACAGAGGGCTTCCAACATCTTTGAAAACATAACATGCAATATGACTGAAAGTAATCTATACTTCAAAGTGTGGCACTTACTTTTGTAGACCATGGGTTTTGACACCTCCATCTAAATAGCTTTCCAGGAAAATGTCTTTTGTCTGATATTTTCAGCATTTTTTCAGGGTTTGGTTTCACTTCAGAATTTTTACAGAACTGTATCTCCATGATATAGCATGAAACTATAGAGTGGTTTGTCTTATATTACGATAAAACTTGTAAATTTTACCTGTGTGTGTCTTTGAATTAAACTGTGTTGTTACCTTGATGAACTTTTAACAAGATTCAAAAATGACCATGTTGAGTCATGTAGAGGTGACTTATGCAGAGTTTGGGGGAAATTGCTGATTTTTTAATTCAAACTGGGATTCTGGAACTACAAAGAAGTAAAATGTCATCTACACAGTAGAATTAATGCAGTTTGACACTGTTTTAACTACCATGGCTCAGTGTTATGGAGTTGTGGTTTTACAAGGCCTTTAGCCTTCTCTACCAAAGAGTGCTAAAGCTACAAACTACAAACCCCAAAATTCCATAACATTGAGCCATGGAGGCTAAAGTGATGTCAAGCTGCATTAATTCTGCCATGCAGTTGCATCCTCTGACTTCTAGACTTCGTTTGAATGGCACTTGTCTGGAGGAGCTGGGGAGCTTTGTAAATCTCTCCCAGACAAATTGAAGCATTGCCATTGGAGCTGCAGTGTTTGGTTTAGATCTGTGCTCCAGCTATTTATCCTATGAATAGGAGGTGGGCATATCGAAGATGAGGATACTGTAGTAATTTAAGTGAGGACTGGTGTTCATTTATATAGGAATTCCGACTCTTTCTTTCACTGCTTCCCTTTGCAGCTGAAGAAGTTGCTCCTTTCTCCTTCCAATGTGCCTCCAAGCTATGAGGTTCAGAAAGAAGGGAGTGTTTGGCGTCAAGGAGCTCCCAAATCCAGACCGCAGCGAATCTGTACAAAGGTACTGTTCCTTTTAGCAAACGTATAGACATACTAGACTTGGCCTAAAACAAATCAGTAGATTATATCTGGCTAGGTTTTCCATAGGCATGTGGGAAGCTGAAAGTCAGACCAATTGCCTATCTAGTCTAGCATAATGTCATCTGTGATGATCAGTTGTAGTTTTCTAAGAGTTTCAGGTAAGAGTGTTTCCCAGTCCTTAGAGCTGTTTCAACCCATCTTCCCACATTCTTCAACAAAGATGGACAGGAACTACAAGCAGTCTTTCTACAATGGTAACAATGGGTTTGTTTGCTTAGATGATCTATTAGACAAGTTTCCATATTCAGCAACTGGCTACTGCTTACTTTTAAAATCCTTTAAGAGTTGTGTTGGGAATCTGACTTGTCACAAGTTTGCTTCCTTTCAATGACCCTATGATCTAAAACACAATAAATTCTTTTGGAACAAGCATTTGGATCAGCTCTACTTAAGAGATACAAGGGTTGAAATTGTGAACTTTAGCGAGTGAACCTTGTGCTTTGCCACAGAAATAGGGTTCTGTATTCAATCTCATATCTCATTTTGAATATGAAGGATATGTTCACAAGCATCTGCTAAGCCAGTTCTCCATCAGTGTTGTGAGATAAGTTTCCTAATTTTTTTATTAAAATATTTCTAGACTACTTTTTGTAAAACATTTCACATTGCTCTGGAGAAAAAGCCGGCTTCTGTGTAAAGACAGTCAAAGAAGGAGAAGCCATCACTCCTTGAAACAGTCTTACAGTTAAGAAAATTCTTTTATTGTAATGTGAATTCATTGGTTCATGTTCTAGTCTAGCAGCAGAAAAAAAAGCTTGTCCCATCTTCTAGAGTCAGTCTAGAATAGTTTATCCTATATTGATCATCATCCCTAAGATAATTTTTTTTGAAAGTTTGGGACAATGTGCAAAGGACATACTCAGTTGATGCTGGTGGTAGCAGAGTTCAGTATATAGAATTATTGCAAATGTGCAATGATGCATCTCGAGCAGTGTGTCGTTCCATATTGCATTCAGCCTCTGTCCATTGCACAATGAAGTGACAGCTCAGCAAATCCCTGTTTCTCATACATTGCACTATGGTGGCATTCAGTATTGAGATTGTTTAGCACTAGTATACCATAAGTTTACTCGCAGAGCCAAGCCATTCCAGCCAAGAAGATCCAGGAAGCCAGTCTGTTCCATTGCTCTGTTCCCTTAGTGGCCTACTAGATGTTCCAGTAGAACTCAATTCACAGAATACGAGCACAATGGCATGTTCCTGCTCATTTTCATTAGTAGCTGGCATTACAAAGTTTCTAAAATAGTTTGTAGCATCATGACTAGAAAACAGTGAGTGTCTTGCTTGCCATGAATTTGTGTAATCCCCTTATCATGTCATCCAAATTGGCAGCCATCATTCTGTCACTGAATTGATGTTCACCCAGTGGTTAGAATGACAGATGCAAAAGGGGTCAGGGCTTCTACATGTCATTGAAGGAGCTTCTCGTGTATCTTGGCATGCAAATTGCTATCCTGAAATCCCCCTTGATGAGCTATTGTGAACAAGTCCTTTCTCCTTCCTTCCTTCCTTCCTTCCTTCCTTCCTTCCTTCCTTCCTTCCTTCCTTCCTTCCTATATTTGTTTTTCTTGATTCTTTTTTCTTTGTATCTGATGATCCTGTGAATAGTTGAAATTTGAAAACTGATAACATACATACTTCCAAAAATGGAAGTGTGTGCGTGCATGCTAATATATAGGATGCCTGTGAATTAGAATCCCCATTTCTGCTCTGGTAACCTGGTCTAATGATGCCCTGACCCTGTGTGATACCAAATAGTTTAAACTGATGGGAGCTCAGCAGGACAGGAATTCAGCAAGTTACATTGTCAGACTGTAGTTTTACCCTTACTTACTTGGGATGAAGGGTCGTTACAATTTTGGAGATTTTACTTCTCTCTAGAATTGTACAGTTCCAGTTGCAGTTCCATGTGTAGGATATGAGTTGTAGCCATTTACACCCTGGACTATTGTTTGGAAATCAAAGTGCCAGGACTAAAACATCAACCTATACTTAGATTTTTTTTAGTGAGGAGTTAGATTTTTCACCCTTGTTTCAACGTATGGTAGAATTTAGGAAAAGGAACCAGCTGTGGTGAGATTTAATTCCCCCATTCATTCATGAGAGACCAGAATACACTTAAGAAGAATAGGAAGAAGAAAAAGAAAAAGAAGGGAGAGGAGGAGGTGGTGGTAATAGAGGTAAAGGAAGGGCTTATGTGCACCCTCAAGATGATGTTCATTTCAACTTTAATCATCATTATCTGGGTGAGTCTCCTCAAAACAGGAATGACACAATTTCCCCAAAGGCTTTATTCTTTGTGTCCTATGGGGCTATTTCATTGTGTACAGCATACAAAGAGGCCTTTCTTTTCATTAGATTCTCTTTCTATTTAAACTTTGTCATGATTTTTCCCCTCTTTCTTCTTGCTTGATCTCATTCTTGACCCAAATTAGAGCAGAGTTTCCTAGTATCTGAATTGTGCATACCTGAGCAAATTGGTAAAACAAGTCCACTTGTGTAAACAAATCTCTTAAATCAGCACAAGAGGCCATTAAAGGTTTTCCCATTTGAATTATGGAAACTACAGTGGAATAGGCAAGTGGGTTCAAGTGGCAAGGAGGTGAAAGGAGGAGCAAAAAGGGAGTTGACAAAAGAGAGACAATGTTTTTTTGCATCAGCTGAGTAGAATGGAAGTTACATAATGCCATTTGTTGCATATACACCAGAAAAATGTTACAGGGAGTATAAAAGATCTGAACTATCTTACTTGAGCTATTCTCAAAAGGTTCTTTTAAAGTATATAGATCTCTCCCATCTCAACTCCCCTTCCCATTTTTAAAAATGCATTAGCTTTCTATATCTTCCCAGTTCACCTCTCTTACCTTGAGTGCCTATCCATCTCATCAGCTTTGAAATGTCTTTCAGTCTTTGGATTGTTACAAAATAAAAGGATAACAAATTGATCCATTTCCATCCAGCACATATTGTTCTTCTCCAGTTGTGCCTATGAGTTTTACATTCTGGAGAGCACATGCATGCATACCATTTTGGTTGCAGAGCATAGAGTTGTCTTTTCATCCAGGCTTTGAAACCCTTGGAGAATTGCTGTCAATGTTGAAGTATCCCAGTTTAAGGCAATTCCTTCTATAGGAATTCCACATTCATGGCACACATGGAGGCAGCTGGTGACATGTATTCTACCTACAGATTGTAATTTTGTTGCTGATTACATTCGTTTATATATATGACTGAACAGCATCAATTAGATACTATATGAGATGTCACTGTCAAAAGCATTCTTCACCATCACTGCTATACTTGGGGAAATCTTGGTATACAAAGGGGTCTTGTAACACCTGAAAGGAAGAAGTTAGTAATATAAGCTTTGTCCTTTTTATTATTAATGGAGGTTTGATTTGGTTTATGGCATCTGGGTGATTTTGGTTATTTATTTATTTTGTTGTCTAGTACCATATGATATTGAATGTTTGATGATATTTGTTGTAAACTGCCCTGAGTCCCTATGGGGAGATAGGACAAGATATAAATTGTCGTTGTTGTTATTGAGAATAACAACAATATCCTCCATGTTTCCACAGTTCCTAGCTGGCCATGGAGCTCCATGAGAGCTCTTGGCCATTATGTGTGTTTCTGCTGACATCAGAAGAAGGCATCTATGCATCCAGGAAAAAGGAGAGATTGCCCCTTTTCTCCTGGTTGTGTGGGTATCCTGTTCTAATATCAGCAGGGACACTGATGATGGTTAGGAGCTCTTACAGAGAGCAGCGGCAGTGACATGCCCATGTTCCATTCTCATTCTTTGTGCTGATCAGTGCAGAGAAAAGGTGTCGGTGCTGTGCCCTGTCCGAACAGTGAATTAGGCTGAATTGGACCCAGTCCATCTTTGCATACTGCCCTGAAGCCATAGAATACTCCAGAGTTTCTGGGCTAGCCCCCAATTTTGCCTGAAGTGGAGTAAAGCTGATTTAAAGCTAAAAACTTCAGGGTACTCACTGAAAATAGCTTTTTGTTGTTGTTGTTGTGTCAGGAGCAACTTGAGGAACTGCAAGTCGCTTCTGGTGTGAGAGAATTGGCCGTCTGCAAGGATGTTGCCCAGGGGATGCCCAGATGATTTGATATTTGTATCATCTGAAAATTCTATTTATGGTGAGCCTGGGGTTCTTGGCTTGTATAGACAAACCTAAACTTTACTTCCTCAGATGCATGGATAATCTTCATCATAGTTTTAAAACTTCTACAATGTAAGTTAAAATACATGTTTTAAGGGTTTATGGCCACCACTCTTGCAGGACTGGAATTTGTGCAAAGTGAACAGCAAAGTGCAAAGGCTCTCATAGCTTGACCCATGATTGTTTGTTACCCAGTGCCTGAGGGTAGGGGCCAGACTCATGAAAATCACACATGAAAAAGAAGAAAATGAAAAACAAGTTCTGCTGCTTGCCCTACATGAGGTATATCCAAAGTCTGGTCCAGGGGCCAGTTGCAGCTCCTGTTCAAATTTCCTCTCTCTCCAGGCCTCATTTCCTTGACTCCCTCCCTCCCTTCCTTCTTGGGAATCAGGGCACTGGAAAAGATGGCCTCCTCCAAATCTGCTGTTTAATATGTCACCTTTGATCCTCCATATAAGGATTGTAAAAAGAAGGGAAAGTCTATAATGCATAGATGGGAAAGTTATCTCTTAGTTTGGTTGACTGCTCTTTCTCTTTTCTCCTGAAGGTGGAGACTGGCCGAGACAGAAAGCCAAGCTTCCTCCAGACTCACAGTCGGAACTGCACAGAGCTTCATAAGCACCTTACTTCTGCCACCACAGTCATGATGCACTGCCCACACACACAAGACAGCCGCCTGCCAGATGAGTGCCACCACAGCAGTAGCAACAGCAGCGAGCCCCAGAGACTTTTTGCCCCCAATGGAGAGGACAGTGACTCCAGTGAAGATTCGCTGAATTATAGTCATGTCGTGGCAACTCCTCCCTCTTCCTCTTCCAGCTCTGAGGAGGGCCCTGGAGAGAAAGAACTTCATGCTGCAGTGGAGCTCATACGCTACATGCACACTTACTGCCTTCCCTCCAGAAAGCTGCCCCCTACAAACTATATTGAAGTGAAACACCAGCATTTTCATAGCCCCTCGAAAAGAGCAAAGCCAGATTGCCCCACACAGAGGCCACTGCTCTGTGCTAAAAACAGTTGTCCCTCCAGCTCTTGGCATCTCTCTCTTTTGGGTGGCAACCAATCTAGAGCCCCTGCTTCTGAGTTCTCCATCCTGAGAGAGCTGCTTGCCAGAGACCTCTCCTGTGATGTGAGCAAGCCATACAGATTGGCCAAGCCTGTGTACTCCTCCTTGGCCAAGTCTCCCAAATGTCTAAGGGCCTCTTCAATTGAGGCTGAAGGAGGACCCACAGATATGTGTAAATCCACAGCCAAAACACCACTTGAAATGAAAACTGAGCCAAGGCAAACTCCAACAGCAGAATTCGAACCTAAGAAAGAGACTGGCAGCTCTGCAGAAGAAGACACCATGAAACAGGGGACACTTCAGGCTCACCAGACCTTTGGCAAAGCAGGTCGTAAGCAGGAGAGCTCTGTTTATGCAGTGCGGCGCTCCAAAAGACTCAACCCTGACCTCAGTCCCTGGCTGTCATTCCTAGAGGAATCTCCTCCAGACTCTGCTGTGTCTCCAGCAGCAGCAGGAAACAAATCTGCCACCCCCGAGTCTGCCCTGTGTTCCTCCTTGCAGAACTTTGATACAGAAGCACCAGCAGCTGAGGTTGAAGTGAACAGTGCAGATGAGACAGACAGCAAATTTCCGGGGTTCCCAATGGAATTGCAGACCCCCTCACCAGAGAGCTCTGGGGAGAGTGAAGTGTGTGAGATAAACGAGAGCCAGTGCTATCCCTTCATGCGTCAAAGAGGTACAGAGTTGGTGAGATGGTGGTCATGGTGTTGAGGCTTAGTCTTCTGTGTCAGTATTTCCTTATGGGGGGAGGGGAGGGGAGGGGAAAGAAATGAAGCCACACAGCCCAGTTACCTTTTAGGCATGTGTATAATGAATTATAGTCCCATTTGATAGATGAGAGGCAAAGGGCATCAAGCAGAGATAATTCCTCATAAAGTACATCACTTACAGAGAGAATGGTGGAGAAAATGAGGGCAGGGTAGGGCAAGGCAGGGAGTGATAGGGGAGATGAATTTAAAATTGCCCAATGGATGTGGAGTTAAAAGCATCATACTTGTTATGGTCAGGCTCACTTGACTTTAAAACTCCCGCCATATCATGGACTAGCTATCAAGGATCATTCCTAATGTTTTGTGGGAAATCTGTGATTGGATCTTGAAAGTCTCTTCTTACAATTCCAGTCAATTGTGTTCCATTTTAGAGAGATCTGAATTGGATTTCAGCTGTGGAAAAGTTAAACCTTTTTAATGATCTTTCACTAATTCTCTCCCTACCTTCCCAAACAACTATTAATTGGGAGAGTTTAATAGAAAGATAGGTACAGTGCAAGTTTCTGTCTTTATGTGTGAGTATGTAGTGGAGGGAGAGATGATTAAATCAGGGAAACTGCACATACAAGTAGGACTAAAATCCCACCTTTGCAATGCAATCCAGTTATTGTGAGGGATATGATCAGTGGAAGGGATGCTGTTGATCCACTGATTGGCTCCTCTGTGAACAGAGCTTTGGGCTACATAGGTCTTTGACCTGATCTAGCATGGCTCCTTCATATGTTCTTGAGGGCATGGATGTGGCTCTTTCAGTCATTTTGGTTTTTTCTAATTGTTTCTTCTTTCAGAAGCACCGAAGAGTCTGTCACTGCCCTTGGCACAAATGTAAGTATAATATAAAAGAACAAACATTCTGTGATTTATAGCCTATGCCTGGGTCCATAAAGATACAGCTATGCTTATTAAATCATGAATAATTGGATTTGGTCATATATATCATATCTGTTCCAACTGGGCTATATAGGAGAGCACCTCTCATGTAATTTGCAGAAATCTTGTTTACTTGCTTCCGTAAACTTTTAAATGATTCCCTTTTTGATGCAGACTGCTTAGGCCTTTTTAGAGCCTTTTGGAGGAGAGTCTGTAGCTACTGCTCAGGAGTTGTTGGCTGCTGAGAGAGTGCTGTGTCCTTGTAATTAGTTATCTCAAGGTATTTTAATCACAAATGGCGAGCTGAAGCTGGCCATTTGTGACACTTTAGTAACCTAAAGAGGAGATGAGAACTTATTTCCCCCCAGCATACAAACCTTCCTTTCATAATTATTTGGAGATCATCTTTACTCATTGCATGCTGCCAGTGGAGTTAAAATTTTCCAAAAGAGGTAACCAAACTTTTCTCCTCTTCTTTAGAGAGCCGACATTTGGGAAGCGCAATTTTGAACAAGTTCTGACGGTAGAACTATGTGGCACTGCAGGTAAGGAAAAGAGGTTTCTTCAGGATATGGATATGGGATGGGACGATGACAAAAATCCCATGATCATCTACTGGTTCCAGAAATTTAACTTCCCTGTGGCTATTGACTCGAAGATAAATAAATCTGGATATTACTAAGCACAGTCCTCTTCTCTCCATGCCTCAAGTCCCTTAAAATGATAGCTTCTCAACAGCATGCTCCTGTCTAGTGGCCAAATGATCCATTATCATACTACTCTAAAGGCAGGAAGCTAAATACCAATAGCAGGGTTTAACGATCCAAGACCCAGTGGCATGGTTAGTTGCAGGAAATACGTGGGAGTGTATATTCAAGGAAGAGATGGAACTTATTTTGTGTCAAGAGTGAGTTGTTATATGTTCATCTATGCTGAAATAGTTTTACCATTTTGTTTTCTTGGGGGAGAAAAGGTCTCACACCACCAACTACTCCACCATACAAGCCTTCAGAGGAGGACCTGTATAAGCCAGATATTCACCAGAGGCCAGTGAAGGACATGACCAGCTCTGAACCACCACTAATGACAGGTGATGGAGCAACCTTCATGAAACACCAGAGGAAGCACCCAGTGCGAACCGAATTGTATGCCCACCTGAGTCGGGCTACTGCCCATCCCTCTCAGGCTGAACAGCACGGAGTGTTGAAACGCCCATTCTCACGCTCCTTTGGTGATCATGACTATTGCCAGGTCTTGAAGCCTGAGGCCTCACTCCAAAGGAAGGTGTTGAAATCCTGGACGCCCCCAAGCCACATGGAAAGCCAACAGAAGAGGAAGGTTTCTCATGCACCCCATCAGGAAGCAAGTGAGCTGGGTGTTGATGAACTCTTTGTCAAGGAGGGCACCAAACAACTGAGAGACCAGGAGATCAGAGCCAGTTTGACAAAACACTTTGGCCTTTTGGACAGTGCCCTGGATGATGGGGAGATGGCGTTTGGCAAGACTCCAGAATATGACACCGTCTTTGATGACAGTTGCAGTGAGTTTGGGTCCCCATTGGAGAAAGAGGAGGAAGAAGAGGAAGAGGAGGAAGAGTGCTGTATAAGTCCATTGGAATCCAAGTTATGTCCATACAAGAATCCTCTTTCTAGGACCACTTTGCACTACTGTTCCAAAAGCAGATCTGCTTCAGAATCATCATGCTGCAGATCCAGGTCTCCTGCAAGCCAATGGGCTTTCAGGTACAGTTGTGAGTTCATACAGTCCTTGGGAAAGAGCCCCAGTTAGGTTGTTGGTGGGCAAATCTGTGCATTACATTAATTAGCTTTCGTACTCTTTTGCAGTTGGTGTAAAGTCCTCAAGTCTGTCTTATTTTACTATTTGAAGCACTTCATGTGTTAATGGAGCTGTAAAACCTGGATTTAGGAGAGCCAGTGTGGAGTAAGGACTAGAATGCTGGAAGATCCAAGGTCACATCCTCACTCAGCCACATAATGCTCTCATGATCTTGAGCCTACCACTTTCCTGACTAACTCACCTTACATGGGAAATGGAAAGAGTGTGTAGAAGAGATATGTATGCTGCTTTAGTTCACAGAACAAAGGCAGGATATAAACATCACTTCTAAATTTTAAAAAATGAGAATAAGATCAGTTTAGAAGGCACTGGGCATTCACAGAACTGATGGAAAGAGGGGCCAATTTTTACCTGTTCCTCCTTGTGTCTCCTGAACTTCTCCAGGAGCTTGGAGGACCTTCAGAACATCAAGGGGTACTGGGAAAAATCACCTCTGCTTCCTCTTCCATGAATAGCAACTTCTGCTGGATTGTCAGTGCTTCCATGAACAGATGGAGTCCTTCTGCTCTCAGAAAGACTGCTGTAACAGAGCCAAGAGAAAAGGGGACAAAGCATCTGGGGGCTCAGAAAGACATTTAAGATATTTTACAACCAAGTTGGAAGCCAACGCCAAAAAGAGTTTTGCACAAATATGTGCCAGAAGATTTTCAAAATGCATTGGGTTTCAATTAACATAAATTCTGTTTTTCTTGAATGCTTTGTCTCTTTTTTCTGGGATCCACTGTTTCCCTTTTTGTGTAAGCAAAATGTTCATTCTCTTTACAGATGAGTGGGTAGTTCAAAGGAGGCTTAAAAATAGCTTTCCCACTTCGTAACTGGTACCTTATTTTACTCTAGATCCAAGCATGTGTCTCTGAACGTCTAGCATCTTAATCCACATATTTCTGGGCTTATTTTTAATTGAAAAGGAATGGATCCTATACGCAGGGAATATGTCTCTCCTTATTTTTGGTTGCTTACACTCAGACCAGGCAATCCATTCAGGATTAAACAATGTGCCTTCTTGTTTGCACTAGATTTGAAAATGGAAAGCCATGTCAAGATGGAACGATGACTGACCAGGGACAGATGGAGACGAAAAGAGGAAAAGCCATTGTAAGTGGTCCAGAAGCTTTGGAGAAAATTTCAATGAATGAAGTGGAAGTTGTGTAGCTTCCAGCCAGATCACATGATTCCCTCTTTCTAAAACTCATTTCTTTTTGGAGACAAAGCTATTGCCATTCAACCTCTGCTGAATACAGGAGTGAACACTGCATTGGCTAGTTTTACAGTATCCCTTGGCCCAAGACTGATATAAGCAAGAAATAGAATTTGATGCAACTGGCAACACGTTTGAGTTCCTGGCACAGGGAGAATCCTGTGCAGAATTCATTAACATACACTTTGAGGGAGCGCAGCATAGATGGGAATCCTGTGCAGGTCTTGCCATCACAGAAGGAAGCTGGGCAAATAAAAGAGTGTCTGCACAGTGCACTGATTAGAATGTTAGACCTGAGAGTTCCAGGTTCAAGATTTCATTGAGTCAGGGATAACTTGGGCCAATCACTTTCTCAGGCTGACCCACCTCAGATAGTATTATGAAGATAATAGAGAGCAGGAGGAGGGTCATGCATACTGCTCTGCACTTCTTGGAAGAAAATGTGGTTTGTAAAAATAAATAATAAAGGGAGTTTAGTAATACAGAGCACAATACTGAAATAGTAAAAGAAACAGTGATCCAGATTGTAGATCTTTTAGTTATACAGATTCATCTGCTGATTTTTATCTTGCTCCCAACTTAAGTCAATATTCTCAAGGGGTTTCCGGGTAGTTTTATTTCCAGACTGAGCAAAATTTACATATACACCATACCCTTTTCTCCCTTGCACTCTCAGATTCTGCAGACCACCATGCCTTTTTTCCGTGCTTGCGTCTGTTCCCTCCAGACATTTGTCTCTTTGAAAAATGGAATTGACAGAATCAAAACCCTTTTTCATAACATTAGTCATTTTTTTTCATAACATTTGAGATCAATCTAGTAGTGGCTCACCCTCCTCCCAAGCAAAGCTGTGAGGGAGCATTTAGCAGGATTTTCAAATTTGTTTCATTGTGGGATTATATGACTGACGTCCCATTATAATTTTGCAGGGAACTTTGAAAAGGAATGAATGATTAACAAAGAGGAAGTAAAAACTGTTGAAGTATAATATGCAGGCTACTTGAAAAGCAATAGTTACCGCAGTTCCTTCCAAAAGCTGTTTGCCAAACAGACTTTGTGCATTTAGAGCTGCCTTGTTGACTGGTGCTCAAAGGGGGTAAGAGGTGTCAAGAGTCCAGTCATAACAAGTGTTGCATCAGGACAGGCTTCAGCAGTTATTCTTCTCCCTGAACAGGGAGAAGGCCGGGTGGTGTACATCAGAAATCTTGCCAGCAGCATGAGCTCCACTGAACTGAAGAAGCGCTTTGAAGTGTTTGGAGAGATTGTCGAGTGTTGTGTTTTGACCAGGAATAAAAGGTGGGTCAAAGTGGTGCTTCCCATCTTTCATCACAAATGATATTTGAGTATTACAGGTTATTCTTTATAAAAACTAAGAACTGGGAAGATAGTTTGTCTATTCTTATTAACTTCTCACTTATTTGGAGTTGGAATACTCAAATTGAGGAATGAGTCTTGTGGGACATCTGGAAATCTTTGCTCTTTAAGGAGGGATCTGCTTCTTTATTAATACTAAGCTGAAGGAATACAGTAGATACACTTATTATGCAAGCTCATTAAATGTGGTTTGATTTATATGAGAAGTGTTTTGAATAACATAGAATCACTCTAGACAACCTAGAAAATGCGTATATTCCAGCTAATCAACATACTCAGTTATGACATGTCTTGAAAGCTCAATTGTTTAATAAATATATGCTCTACTGCTGTAAGAATATCCAACACAGCTTGTCTTTTATAGTAAAAAGAGCAAAGCCAAAGAATTCACAGTGCAACCCTAAGCATATCTACTCAGAAATAAATCTCATTGCATTCAATGAGACTTAATTCCAGGGAAGTAGCAGGAAAGCTTCCCTCTCCCTGCCCAGAATTCTTAGTGAGGCCATGGTCTGGCTGAGGGCAGCCAGACCACCCTCAGAAAAGGTAGGCGGGTGTGTTGCAGCTGTTGAGGATGGGATGGGTCTGCCATTCCAACTCTCTGGGCCTCCTGACCCACTGTGGGGTTGATCCTAGGCCACACCTAATTGGTCAGTGTAATGTACTCTTAATCACTCACCAAATATCCAAAACAGGACAAGGTAATATCTTTATTGCATACCATAAAACAGGTGTACTTTCAAGTCCTCAAAAGAGTGTTCATTAACCTTGGCACGAGGGTAGAAACAGAAAGTCCAAAAGTCACTCTATCTAGATGCTGAAGACACAGGATCTGTAGTGAAACAGAGTCTGAAAACTGAACTAATTCCTTCCCACCATCTCTCAAGACAAAGGGCTGTACATCAGTAGATGCATTATCTATTGCCTTTGTTCAACCTGATGAATATTCCTGGAGATTTTAGTGGTATCTAAAAGGTTGTTACCCAATTTTGTTTTTCATGGCTGATTCATTTTTCCCCTCCTTGCCTCCAGACTTTTCTTGCTGTATTCCTGGTGATGCTTACACTCTCTTTTGTTTCTCAGGGGAGATAAATATGGTATCATCACGTATCGGTGTTCTGAACATGCCGCCTTATCCTTGAAGAATGGTGCCTCCCTGAGGAAAAGAAATGAGCCCTTATTCCAGCTGAGCGGTGGTAGTTTTGGGCACTTCTTCTGGACCAGATACACTGACTTGGGTGCGCACTACTAACTGCTTTAGGTCTTTTTCTCTCAACTGCTTTTATTTAGTTGTTGCACATGTTATTATGTGTATCATGTAGAGATTTTAAAGGTGATCATAATCTGGGATCACAAATCTGATAATATTAAACTAGCAAGTTCCCATGAGCATTCTGGACAGCTGCAGTTTCCCAAACACTCTTCAAAGCTAATCTGACAGAGTGTGTTGCTGTAGTCTTTCTGTCTGAATAGTCCATATGTTCCACTTGTGCTTTTTTCAAGAAGAGTGACTAGCCAATACAATACAAAACTTTATCACGGTCACTGACCAATACAAGAAGAAGAAGAACTTTATTTTTATACCCCGCCTCCATTTTCCCGAAGGGATTCGGGGCGGCTTACATGGGGCCATGCCCAGGCAACATACAGTTAAAAACAGGATAACAAAATATTAAAACAACATAAAACAGCATCATCATAAACAATAAAACAGCATCATAAGCAACAATAAAGGTACCTCTTTCTCATTTTTGGGGGGAGGAGACCAATATGCAAAACGAGTTAAAGGATAGGTTTGTCAATAAGGTGGATAGAATAAAAAGTAGAATAGGAATAGAGCAATTATAATAGGATAATTGCAACTTAACTTAAAAATATAGTAATCAAAATAGGAACTGAGTTCAAATCCTGGTTAGGAGCCATCTATCAGGAATTGTCAATCAAACGCGTGACGAAACATCCACGTCTTTAATTCCTTATGAAATGTGGATAAGGAGTTGTCAGCCTAATCTCCCTGGGGAGGGAGTTCCAGAGACGAGGGGCCACCACCGAGAATGCTCTTTCCTTCGTCCTCACCAACCACACCCGAGATGGGAGTGGGAACGAGAGAAGAGCATCCCTGGAGGATCTTAAGAACCGTGTGGGCTTGTAGGGGAGGATGCGGTCATGAAGATAGGCACAAGCGCCCTGGGAGGGGAAGCACAGCTACCCAATGAAGCAGTTATTAAAAAACAGATTAGAAAGCAGTTTAAAATCACAGTTTAAAACACAGGTTATTGTAACTAGCCAAAGCTACACAGAAAGGCTTCCGCTTAATCCGCTAGAAGCAAAGCATAAGTCCAAGTCATGTTAAAGATAGGCTGAATCTCAGGTCAGCTTTTTTTGCTGATCAAAAAGACTCCTATCTTGGTCTAGATTAAGTTTTAGATCATCCCAAGTCCCAGACATTGGTTTATAACTTTCATGAAGTCTAATGGAAAGGAGAAAAAAATGATGCATTTTAATAAAATTATAATTCTAGAGTATGTTCCTCCAGCAAAGGATCACCGCCTTGTCGGGGCGCTGGAGCTTGAGCACCTCAATGATGTCATGAGCGAAACCGGAGGGCCACCCAAGACGGGACGGTTGTGGCAGAGAGGTCAGACCAAGCGTGATCCCTGGGGAAGGCAATGGCAAACCACTCCAGTATCCTTGCCAAGAAAACTAAATGGACCAGTACAACCAGAGATATGTCGGTATGCCATTGGAAGATGGGACTCCCAGGTCGGAATATGGCCAAAATGCTACTGGGGAGGAGCAGAGGATAAGTTCAACTAGCCCCAGATGTGATGACGCAGCTAGCTCAAAGCCGAAAGGAAGGCTAGCGGCCGACGGTACTGGAGGTGAACGACGAATCCGATGCTCTAAAGATCAACACACCATAGGAACCTGGAATGTAAGATCTATGAGCCAGGGCAAATTGGATGTTGTTATTGGCGAGATGTCAAGACTAAAGATAGATATTCTGGGGGTCAGCGAACTGAATGGACTGGAATGGGCCACTTCACATCAGATGACCACCAGATCTACTACTGCGGACAAGAGGAACATCGAAGAAATGGAGTAGCCTTCATAATTAATAAGAAATTCGCTAAAGCGGTGCTTGGATACAACCCAAAAAATGACAGAATGATCTCAATTCGAGTGCACGGAAAGCCTTTCAACATTACAGTGATCCAAATATACGCCCCAACCACAGCTGCTGAAGAAGCAGAAGTAGATCAGTTCTATGAGGATCTGGAGGACCTACTGGATAATACACCAAAAAGAGACATTATTTTCATTACAGGAGACTGGAATGCCAAGGTGGGAAGTCAAATGACAACTGGGATCACAGGCAAGCATGGTCTGGGAGAACAAAATGAAGCGGGACGCAGGCTGATAGAATTTTGCCAGGAAAACTCGCTGTGTATAACTAATACTCTCTTCCAACAACCTAAAAGACGGCTTTATACATGGACCTCACCAGACGGTCAACACCGAAATCAGATTGACTACATCCTTTGCAGCCAAAGGTGGCGGACATCCATCCAGTCGGTGAAAACAAGACCTGGGGCTGACTGTAGCTCAGATCACGAACTTCTTATTGCCCAATTTAGAATAAAACTAAAGAGATCAGGGAAAATACACAGACCAGTTAGATATGATCTCACTAACATTCCGAGCGAATATACAGTGGAAGTGAAGAACAGATTTGAAGGACTAGATTTAGTAAACAGAGTCCCAGAAGAACTATGGACAGAAGTCCGCAACATTGTTCAGGAGACAGCAATAAGAAGTTCAGAAAGAAAAAGAAAACCAAGAAGGCAAAATGGTTGTCTGCTGAGACACTGGAAGTAGCCCAAGAAAGGAGGAAAGCAAAAGGAAACAGGGATAAGGGGAGATATGCCCAGTTAAATGCGCAATTCCAGAGGTTAGCGAGAAGAGATAAGGAACTATTTTTAAATAAGCAATGCATGGAAGTGGAAGAAGACAACAGAATAGGAAGGACAAGAGACCTCTTCCAGAAAATTAGAAACATTGGAGGTAAATTTCAGGCAAAAATTGGTATGATAAGAAACAAATATGGCAGGGACCTAACAGAAAGCTGAAGAGATCAAGAGAAGGTGGCGAGACTATACAGAAGATCTGTATAGGAAGGATAATAATATTGAGGATAGTTTTGACGGTGAGGTGAATGAATTAGAACCAGACATCCTGAGGAGTGAGGTTGAATGGGCCTTAAGAAGCATTGCTAACAACAAGGCAGCAGGAGACAACAGGATCCCAGATGAACTGTTTAAAATCTTGAAAGATGATGCTGTCAAGGTGATGCATGCCATTTGCCAGCAAATATGGAAAACACAAGAATGGCCATCAGACTGGAAAAAATCAACTTATATCCCCATACCAAAAAAGGGAAATGCGAAAGACTGCTCAAACTTCCGTACAGTGGCCCTTATTTCTCATGCCAGTAAGGTAATGCTCAAGATCCTGCAAGGAAGACTCCAGCAATACATGGAGCGAGAGTTGCCAGATGTTCAAGCTGGGTTTAGAAAAGGTAGAGTAACGAGAGACCAAATTGCCAATATCCGTTGGATAATGGAGAAAGGCAGGGAGTTTCAGAAAAACATCTACTTCTGCTTCATTGACTATTCTAAAGCCTTTGACTGTGTGGATCATAATAAATTGTGGCAAGTTCTTAGTGGGATGGGCATCCCCAAGCCACCTTGTCTCTCTCCTGAGGAATCTGTACAAGGACCAAGTAGCAACAGTAAGAACTGACCACCGAACAACAGACTGGTTCAAGATTGGGAAAAGCATACGGCAGGGTTGTAAACTCTCCCCCAACCTATTCAACTTGTATGCAGAACACATCATGCGATGTGCGGGGCTGGTGAATGCAAGGCTGGGGTTAAAAATGCTGGAAGGAACATTAACAACCTTAGATATGCAGATGATACCACTCTGATGGCCGAAAGCGAGGAGGAGCTGAGGAGCCTTCTAATCAAGGTGAAAGAAGAAAGCGCAAAAGCGGGTTGCAGCTAAACATAAAAAAACCCAAGATTATGGCAACAAGAATGATTGGCAACTGGAAAATAGAGAGAGAAATTGTGGAGGCCGTGACAGACTTTGTATTTCTAGGTGCAAAGATTACTGCAGATGCAGACTGTGGCCAGGAAATCAGAAGACGCTTACTTCTTGGGAGGAGAGCAATGTCCAATCTCGATAAAATAGTAAAGAGTAGAGACATCACACTGGCAACAAAGATCCGCATAGTCAAAGTCATGGTATTCCCTGTAGTAACCTACGGATGTGAGAGCTGGACCTTAGGGAAGGCTGAGCGAAGGAAGATCGATGCTTTTGAGCTGTGGTGTTGGAGGAAAGTTCTGAGAGTGCCTTGGACTGCGAGAATATCCAACCAGTCCATCCTCCAGGAAATAAAGCCCGACTGCTCACTGGAGGGAAGGATACTAGAGACAAAGTTGAAGTACTTTGGCCACATCATGAGGAGACAGGAAAGCCTAGAGAAGACAATTATGCTGGGGAAAGTAGAAGGCAAAAGGAAGAGGGGCCGACCAAGGGCAAGATGGATGGATGGCATCCTTGAAGTGACTGGACTGACCTTGAAGGAGCTGGGGGTGGTGACGGCCGACAGGGAGCTCTGGCGTGGGCTGGTCCATGAGGTCACAAAGAGTCGGAGACGACTGAACGAATGAACAACAACAACAGAGTATGTTCACTTGTTTTTGCAAAAGATTTAACATTTCACCTTAATCAATCTTTCAGAAATAATTACAGCCATCATTCCATATCCACAGATGCTGCATCCATGGATTCCACCATCTGCAGCTAGAAAATATTCATCCCAAAATTCCAAAAGCACACCTTAAATTTGCCATTTTCTATAAAGGACACCATTTTACTACACCATTGTGGATAATGGGACTTGAGCATCAATTGGATTTGAATTCTTGAGGGGCCCTGGAAACAAACCCCAGTGAATACCAAGGACCCACTGTAGTTTGATAATATTTATGTGGCCTCTCAGCTCAAAATAAGACATATGAAAAAAAAAGTTACTTCCCCCACCCCCCAGACATGCCCCCTACCTAGGCTTTTGATTCACCCTTAGGACATTGCTAATGAATCATGAATTAAACAACTGGATAGTGAAGTAATCCATATTTAGTATGTCATTTAAGGCAGCGCTACTCAAAATAGTTAGGGACCACTACTGATCCATAGCAGTCTTCTGAGGCTTGGAGAATTTATAGGAAGGAAAGAAATGCTTGTAGCCAATGAAAACAGACATAGTACCGGTCCCTGGCATACTGGGAGAAAATTGTTCTCTACAAGAGATAGTTTGAGATGTGATGCTTGAAGGTTTCAGATAAAATGCTGTGTTGTCAGTTTGAACTGACCAATTTCTTTATGGGGTGTGACTAAATAGATTGTGTATCGGTTACTTCACTCCCCTTTAACAAATGCCAATAAAACTGGAGGGGTCAAGTTGCACACTGTGGTTCTTCATTTGGCCTGGGTCTTCCCTTTGACACTGCTGTTGTTCTGTCTCTCCTGGTGGCAGATTCCAATACTGAAGAGTCCTCCCTGGTTCCGGTTAAAAGCAAATATGAGACCATGGATTTTGACAGCCTGCTGCAGGAGGCCCAGGAGAGCCTGCATCGGTAACAGCCTTAACCTTTGAGGAATACCTCAATACCTCAGTCAAGGCACTTCCAATATGTTTACGTTTTCAAAGAATTGATTAAGTATACAACACGAACGAGAGAGAGATTGAGAGAGAGAGACTGCTGTCCTTTTAAATCGATGTTTACATGAACAAGCTGCTTCTGTCTGTGAGTCCCCATGGTGTTGATGTTCCACTGCCACACATTAGTATCATTGCTTCTGATTGGTTGTGTTAGGATGAGCCTGCAAAAGCCTCCTGTCCCCTATTTGTCCACACTTCCTTCCTCTCCACCTCCTTTTCCCAATGGTCCCCTTCCTCACTTCTGCCGTGGAGTTGCAGCTGTGTTCACCATTTCTTCTTTCTATTTTCTTTTTTTGTCCGTAGTGTGTGATGATGAAATTGTTAATTGTGAATAGAATCAAGATTGTAAACTAATTTTTAATAGAAGAAAGAAATATATACTTATAATGTATTTATGGCTCAGATGTACTGTAATTCAGATTTATTGTACCGCTTCCTTGATTTTTAACTATGCACTGTAATGAGACACTTGCCCTTTAGCAGATGTGGCCTCATCCAGAAGGGTGCCCTTCATTTAGCAACTCGTCCCCAAATTGATATCCCTTTCAGTCCTACCCTTGATGAACCAAGGGATTACAAAGTAAGGTTGGAAGATTCCCATTCATGTGGATAAAATTTTGGGATCTCTGCTCTCCAGTCATTAGCTGTGTGATTCTACAGACCCTGGGTGTAGAGAATGAAATTCTTGGGTGGTAAATTTTTCAAAATGATATGACAAAAGAAGCTATAAGGAATGTTTCCCTCCTTCCCTCTGCTTCCTGGATTGCAGTGGCCACCAAGGAGTGAAACGCCACTGGTTTTCCAAGCAAAAGAAATGCTGTGTAAGAAAAGTCTTGCTGGGTTAGACTAAAAGCCAATCCTGTCCATTGTTCTGGTTCCCAGATATGCCTCTGGGAATCCCAAAGACAGGGCTTGATGGCCATAAATAGTCCTCTGCCACTATTGTCCTCTAGCAATGACAAAGTTAGATTACCTCAGAACCTGGAAGTAACATAAAAATATTGTTTTCTGATGTTGGCCATTGGTAGACTTAGCTTCTGTGTAAAAGCTGATGGCAAGACTAAAAAAAAAAAACCTGAAAGCAATCTCCAGAAGAATTATGCTAACAGTTTCCCTAGATTTAGTGATAACATTGTTTCATGAGGTCTCTCAACACAATGTTGGGTTTAAGGTTCTGGCACGTGGAACATTGTGTATAAAGGCCATACATCTCATCACTAGTAGCCTCAGGAATAGTTTCTTCAGCCATTGGGTCATCTGACCAAAGCAGAATCTCTCCCCAGAGCAAGGGGCTTCTCTTCAAAACCCCATCAAAAGCAATCAAGAGCATCCTTGCCTGTGGACTGGCCATGTGTACAAAGTGCTTAAAGCTGGCTAACAGTGCATGGATCATCAGCTTAGGCTATCTGTGAATGCAACACTCCTTGTAAGTGGAGTCATATAAGCCATAAAGCATATAGCCATTGCTACAGTTTACTTGTTTCATTCTCCTTCCCATTCCCTGCCTTCTATTGACCTATGGATGTATTCTTGGGACTCTAATCTAGTGTCTCACACAAACACATGCACATTTTCTTGATTGGCTTTTCAAAGATTCAAAGACCTAAAGGGTCCTTGAGAAGTAACATAGCATAGAGGTTAAAATGTTGGACACATCTGAAAGATCCCAGTTGAAGTCATAGAATCATTGAGTTAGAAGAGACCTCGTGGGCTATCCAGTCCAACCCCCTGCAGCAGAAAAATCGCATTCACAGCACCCTCTCTGCTTAAAAGCCTCCAAAGAAGGAGCCTGCACCACACTCTGAGGCAGAGAGTTCCACTGCTGAACATCTCTCACAGTCAGGAAGTTCTTCCTAACGTTCACGTGGCATCTCCTTTCCTGTAGTTTGAAGCCATTGTTCCACGTCCTAGTGAAAACAAGGCTGCTCCCTCCTCCCTATGACTTCCCCTCACATATTTGTTCCTATTGAGATATGAAATTCACAGAGAGACCTGATTTTCTCTCTCGCCTATCCTATCTAGTAAGTTTGTTGGGAGGATAACATAGTCATTGGAGGAAAGAAAGAAGATAGGGAATAAACACAGAGTAATTTGGGGTAGTTATTTTTGGGAAAGAGTTTTGGATTTTGATTTGGACCATAGAATAATAGAGTTGGAAGAGACCACATAGGCCATCTAGTCCAACCCCTTGACATGTAGGAAAAGCACAATCAAAGTATCCCTGACAGATGGCCATCCAGCCTGTTTAAAAGTTTCCAAGGAAGGCGCTTCCACCACACTCAGAGGCAGAGAGTTCCACTGATGACCAGCTCTTACAATCAGGAAGTTTTTCCTAAAGTTCAGATGGAATCTCCTTTCCTATAATTTGAACCAATTGCTCCCAGTTCTAGTTTCAAGGGCAGCAGAAAACAAGCCTGCTCCCTCTTCCTTATGACACTCTTTCACATATTTATACTATCCTGACTCCTCTCAACCTTCTCTTCTGTAGGCTAAACATATCCAATTCTTTAAGATGCTCCTCATAGGGCATGGTCTCCAAACCTTTGATAATTTTAGTTGCCCTCCTCTGGACACCACCTTCCAGCTTGCCAAAATTCTCTTTTGAACTATGGTGCCCAGAATCGGACGCAGTATTCCAGGGAAAGTGTAACCAAAGCAGAATAGAGAGGCACCTTGACTTCCTTCGATGTAGACACTATACTCCTTCTGATGCAGCCCAAAATCCTATTGGACTTTTTAGCTGTTGCATCACACTGTTGGCTCATGTTCAACTTGTTGTCTATGAAGACTTCAAGATCTGTCTCAGATGGACTGTTGTTGAGCCAGCCATCACCCATTTTGTATATTTGCATTTCATTTTTTTTACATTTGTCCTTGTTGAAATTCATTTTATTGGTTTTGGCCCAGCTCTCTAATCTGTTAATGTCATTTTGAATTCTGATCCTGTCCTCTGGAGTATTAGCTATCCCTCCTAATTTGGTGTCATCTGCAAACTTGATAAGTACACCCTCTAAACCTTCATCCGAGTCATTAGTAAAGATGTTGAATAGTACAGGCCCAGGACCAAACCCTGTGGCACTCCACTAGTCACTTCTTTCCAGGATGAAGAGGAACCATTGGTGAGCACCCTTTGGGTTTGGTCGCTTAACCAGTTATAAATTGAAGGATGCCAAGTCATAGCTTGCGTGTTCAGAAACCTGAATAAATTATCAATTATCAGCTGCCACAGTGGTTTGCTGTGTTAACTGACCAAATTATCTGAGGAATAGTGCTATTCTTGTACTCTAACTAGATTTAATGTTCAGGGGTATGTGAGGGAGACCAAAAATCAATAGATACATCAAAGAGAGATAATTTTCCAGTGGGGAATCAAATACTTTGCTAATTTCTCAGTAAACCACCACATTTTTTTTATTTTTCACAAAAAGTTGAGACCTCCGGGATTGCACCATCCCATGTAGATAGACTACAACAGCCTTAATTCTGCCAGTAAATAGATGCCTCTTCCCTAAAGGTCTCTGGCATTAACATGTATTTAATTTGAATAAAATGCCACAGAATGCCACAGACCCTCAGGCCAAAAGCATGTCATCCAAAGGTTCACCTTTCTCATTATCTTGGGAATGGCCTCACGTGTCAGAAACAACACAAAGAGTCAGCTCATGTATGTTACCATATGCTCGATAATCAATTACTTGATTATTTCTGTCTTTGGATGTGGTGCTTTTATATTAACAAGAGTTCATTTCATGCAGTAACTAACATGGTTCCATGTGTTGTTGGCCTAAATTCACTGTCACTGTATTGGCAGCTGCTGTGTTGCGCACACCACCTCTGTATGGGCAAGGCTGGTAGATCCCTCTCCCTGTAATCTGCCCAGATCAAAGTCTGGGTGAAGCATCTGCTATTGACAAGTGCCTCATTGTAGCTCTGCCTTTTTCTGTCCTAGTATTTCCTCACCACAATGATGTTTACATGTGATTGCTATAGAGCTTACTGTAGAATGTACATAGCGACACATTTAGGGTGGGTAGGACTGTCCTGTCCTGTGCTGTGCTGATGTTTTCAGAAAACAATCAAACAAAAATAATTATTATAATAGTAACCACCCCAACAATCAATAAGTGGAATTCTTCCATCTCCTGACTTGGTTTCAAGGGTAGATCAAAGTTCACAGCTAGCTTCGGTCAGAGAGATGGAAAATGCATCAGTGTGTCGAAAGTGTTGGAGGAGCTGTCATTCTGCTCTCTGGAAGGAACTGCCTTCAGCGTGAGTTACTTGCAAACATGGCTTTATAAGTGGGTTCTGTATTTCAAGTTGCTTTTCAGAGGCTGGATGATACATGCCAATGATATTAGAGCATACCTGTAGTGTGTTCTAGGAGGAAGAAAGAAAAGTCTGTAACGCACATGGCCTCTCAGTCCTAGGTATAGGGAGAGGTGCAATAAGTGGTCTTTGTGTTGCCTGAAGCCTATAAAATATTATTTTGTTTTATTTTGCAAGAAACGTCATTGGAACTTTATGCAATATGCACACATGTGCACAAACGCACACCTGTATTAGGGAAAGGGAGCTGTGGAGGTAGAGTAAGGGGCACCAAACTCTTCTCTCTGCTGCTAGGCAGACAACAAAAGCTGTGAAGCCAACCATGTTGAATGTAGAACCTGAGTGGCATGGTTTGACAAGGACGCACATTTCATGCTGGTTATGGCAGACCAGTCCCTGTTAATGGATGTACAGCTACGTCTGTATCAGTCCCACTGGGAGCAACGTGAGAAAGTCCTTTGCTCTTATTTATTCTTTTACTAGCTTCAGATGGTACAGCCTGGAACTGTAGGTTTTTAAGCAAGAGGTCTCTGTAAAAGCCAACCACCCCCAAAAGTAATGGTATCAGAAAATTTCAGGAGGGACAGAACACACTAAAGATTTAAAAAAATCTATTAACTATAGTGCTCACTGCCATGTGTTGCAAAGAGTCATCCTGGGATGTTGCTGATGAAAAGCCCAGCTCTGTATAACCCAGGAATCTGTAGGATCATTTTGGAGTCAAGCCAGATTTTCAGTGTGAATGTGTTCATAATTGACCTACAGAACCTGTGATCCACCAACACAAATATATCTAGCCTTCCCGATTGTGTTTCTCGCTATGATTGGGGAAGAAAAAAATATAATAAAATGGAGGGTTGGGGAGAAGCAAGAATTAAGTACCTTTACAAGCTGAAATAGTTTGTGATATTTGCACAGCGTAAGAATTTTCATCTTCCTGTAGAGTGGATTAAACTGGAGCCACAATATATATATACTAGTTGCAGAATGCAGTGCAGTTAAAAGCCATGATTTTGAGCTGGCAAAGGGGTTAAATAAACAGTTATTCTTTAGTAGGATGGGGTTAAAATGAGCATTGTATCGTACTATAGCCATAACTGCCACTAACATATTCAGGCAGAGTCTTTCTTTGTGGATTTCTGTTCCACACTTTTTGACTTCACAGGGGCACAACATGGATGCCACCTGGGTAAGAGCAGTCTCAGAATGGTGCCTATTTGCTAAGGGGAGGAATTCATTGTCTGTATGGTCACCTTCCTTTTTGGAAAAGCCTGCCCCAGTTCTTTTTGTGAAGTCTGCCTACACTTTTCCTCCATTCATAACATGAATTATGCCAGCATCCCCACAGTCAAGGGGTAGGTCTAGCCATAACATCAAGCAGCAGAGCAAACCAAGCCCTTGTGAGACCAGGTGGAGAAACCAAATAAGGAGAATTCATTTTCCAGGGTGATTCGGAACAAAAGGGTGTATTAAGGCAATCATGAGGGAGACGTTTATTTTTTTAAATAGAATTATCTATATATGTAGGTGCCTGTGTGTGCGCACGCACATGTGTGTGTATGTGTCAGAGAGAAATCTCTTCCTTTTTTAAAATCAGGAAAAAATACCTTAAGATAGGAATAATTCATAAGCCATTTCTTTATCCTTGGATTGTTTAATAAACCGTTGTTCTCTATGAAACACAAAATCAATACTGATGAATTGGAAATCTTGAATCTATGGAGGAAGGGAAGTTCCAAGGTAACACAGCGAAGAGACTGAACACAGGAGGAAAAAAAATGCAGTTTCAACATTGTATGATGGGAAAAGTCAGCTTCGTATTCCCCTCTGAATGTGACCAGTCTGAGCTGTGCTACCTCCATGAAATTGTGATGCCAGCTTCATGTTGTGTTTCCATAGGTAGTATTAGATTGTCAAAAAGCCTTAGAGGAGTGTGTATGTATATGTGTGTGCGCACCGAGCACATGTATGAATGACTTCTTTATTTTCATTTGCTGGGTGAAAATAATGTTATTTATAGTCCTTACTTTGTTCTTACAGCAGGGTAGTCTGTTCATGACACTTTAGCAATATGACCACACAAAGCCATCAGCTTTCCATTCTCTTGTTTTATCAAGATTCTGGGGAGAGGGTAGATTGTTTAGGCCTCATTCTCATCCAGGTACTTTGCAGTTGATTCATCTTGACCCCTACATTACTGAGTTTCGTGAATCACTTCGTGAGCCATCTATAAATTTTGATGTCTGATTATACATACCTCCTTGCACTTAAATTGCAGGTACCTTTTCTTGCACTTAAAGTGCACTGCACCCTTCACCCCAAGCCCCAATAACCTAAGAATGGGTGCAGTCTGCATTTTACCTCCAGGTGCCTGGAGGAAACACACGAGAGGTAAATGGTTACTATGGTGTGGGGGGGGGGGGGACGGGCACCAAATTTGTTCTAGAAACATTGGTACAAAAACGTACACATATACAGGGCTTACTGTGGTGTGATGCATCTCACATTGCAGGTTCTGTGGTTGTATCTTGCAACCTTTCTGGGTTCACATAATTGAAGACCTCCAAATGCTCCCTTCATGTGGAAACTTGAATGCCATCTCTCTGAAAATTAAAATGTCTCAGTATTCAGAAGAAAGGCATCAGACTCTGGTTTGGAATTTTGTACCCTGTATAATATTTTCCTTCAGTCCCCAAATTTCTACTGTTGCAGAGAATAAGGCCAAGAACTATATTTGCTGTACAGTCAGCTCTCTGCATTTCTGGGTTTGACTACTTCAGATTTTAATATTCAATGGACTGGATCAAAATGGAATCTCTTGATCATCCAGTGCGATTCTATGGTCGGTTTCTGATAGAAGTTGACCATAGAGTCCAGTGGTGAACCTAGAGCAGAACTCTAAAGTTAACTATCGTCGAGGTCCTGTGCTCGTAACCCCAGTAAATGTCAAGGGCTGATTGCATTTGTATTTTTTTCTCTGTAACTTTGTCTGCTTTTGACTTCAGATGCCTAAACTACAAGGCTAGGAATTGAGGGTCTAAGAGAAATTTTCACTGGCGGGTGCAACATTCTTATTTGGCAAGGGCAATGTCCTCATTCCCCTTCCCCTCAGCTATATCTGTGAGGGTGAATACATGGTCCCCTTCAGCACAAGGTTCATCTGCCCTTGACACACTTGGCCAGTGTGAACAGTGTAAACACAAAGCTTTACAGAAGGTGGAGCTGTTTGCATTTGGAGAGTTCTGCCTCCCATTGCATTTCGTAACAGAAGACAGGGGCAGCCCAGTTTGCACACAATGCAGTCCATCAGCTTGCACCCAAAACACGGATGTAGATGCTGAATTTGGGGTGGGGTGGGATTATTTTACATTCTTCTTTTTAGAACATAATTATTGGGAAATTTCTTTCCATTATTTATGGGAGAATCAAGGTATGAGGTGAATAGCCACAGGTACCCCAACAGAGTCTGGTTTTAATACAGCAGTTGATGCTTTAGAAATCATTATTTATTGGAAAGTTTTTGAGGGAGAAAGAATAATTAATATCACTATTTTGTGGTGTGTGTTTGTGAGTGTGTGTGAACCAGAGAGAATGAAGGAGACTAAATTGATGCATTTCTTGAGAAAGGTGTAAGAATTTCACATAAAAAAAAAGGGGCACATTTGCTATGTTATTTATAATAAAAGTTAGATTTTATTTTGTTTTGAAGATGACACTGCTAACAATTAGAAGGGCCCAGTTCTGTCTCTCTTTTACACATATTAATGAAGTAGTAATTTGCTCCTGCATAAGTAAAAGCAGCAGGATTGGCCCCTTCTCTAATCAATAAAATCAAGTTTTTAGTTTGCGATTTTACAAAAAAAAAATATTACTAGACGATTTTTTATATTTCACTTAATTTCCCCCAGTTGTGTTCTGTTTTGTCCTTATTTATGTAATATATTTTAACCTTAATTGGCATAGATTCTTATGCCTTTCCTTTGTTATTGTCATTTTTTAAAGAAATATTTCTTTCTAGTGCGATTTCAATGTCTACCTTCTAAATGAGAGAACGTTTTCTTGTATTTTTACATTGTCAGATTCTATAGTTTCGTAGATGATTTAACCAAATTGCTCAGTGTATTCTCTATATCTATCTGGTGGGTATATAAAAGTTCTATTTTAAATTGTGTAAATACTTCAGAACTGGCTTCTTTTTGAGACTCCCCTGCTGTGGAGTTACTTGTTTACATCACAAAGACTGTAGAATCTCTACATTCATGTACTGTAAATAGTGAAGTGATCTGCCTATAAATAAATAAACCATAACAAATACCCTGTGGAGTCTAACGTGTTTAATTGCAACTCTGTGTGTGGGACTGTGTGTGTAAATGCAGGGCTTCACAGCCATCTTCACTTCTGTTGTCATCTACTGCACAAAAGATGTCTGCAAACCACTGCAATTCAACATATAATAAAAACTTTGACAAAATTTTATTTTAATACCGCCCTATCTCCCCGAGAGGAATCAGGGCGATTTCCAACATGGGGCAAAACATTCAATTGTCGAACAACACAAAAAACATACAAAAATGAAATATTGTAAATCATAAACATCATCCTATTAAAACAACCACAATATTTAAACGCCAGTTTCATAGACTTCTGATCTATCTATCTGTTTATCTATCTATCTATCTATCTATCTATCTATCTATCTATCTATCTATCTATCTATCTATCTATCTATCTATCTATCCCTCTTTTCTCCCAAGATTGGGATGGAGCATGGATTAACATATATTAAAGCACTTTGGTGAAACAGTAAATTTGAAATGTTATATTATATATACGTTTAATACATAAAAACATTTTTAAAAAACACAAAGTAATTAAATCATTTTAAGTCCAGCATGCCCATTTCGACCAACACCCATAAGGGGGTGTGGAAGGCATTTCCACCTTGTTTGAAGCCCTCTCTGCTCCTACCCCTCAGTCCCCCATGGGTCAAACAATTTTTAATGAAACATTTTGTAATATGTTTGTCCAAACTACCATCTAAGGTCTATGGGGGAGCTTTCATTGTGTATTGGCTCATCCTCATCTCATTTTCCCTTCCTCCTTCTTCCCTCTTCCCACATCTTTCAAGTTTCACTCATCTTCTCCCTGCTTCCCTGTCTCTCATTCTCTTTCTCCAGCTTCTCCTCCCCAGTTCTAGCTATGCCTGTTTTCTTCTTCTTGCTCAATGCATCTTGTAACGAAATGTTGTACCTTGCAAGACCAGGGTTAGCTCTGTATAGGAATGATAGTAGGAAGGAAAAAAGAAGAATTGCCCATGGACAAAATTATCCACAGGACTAATAATATTGAAACAGGGTGTGGGAAAATTATCATTCTATTTTTTTCTTTTATTCATTAATGTGAATTTTGGGCTCTTAGCAGAGAGTGCCACATCGTTTTGCATAATCTGCTGAAACATTATCTGGTCAAAACATGTGCCCCTGAGCTGTGGCTACAAATCCTGTAAGGAATATGCTCAGAGCACATGGAATACAGCGTACAGTCCAAGGCTGGCACCTCCCACACACATGTTCAAGGTTCACACTGAGGAGCTGGCAACAAAGAGCTGTGAATCCTGTAGGTTTCTTGCTCGCTTGTCAGAAAAGAACTTTCCTCAGAACTAGAAGTCTAAAAGGGGAAAAAACTAGCAGACAGATGGATATGATTCCCTGTGATTTCTGCCTGGAGAAGCCTAACTCAGCTGTGAAGAGGTGCCTAACCTGTGAGGCATCCCTGTGCCAGGCCCACCTCAGCAAGCATGACTCTAAAGGCACCCAGAAAGGCCATGTCTTAGTGGCCCTCAGCGCTGCTGAAGCCCAGGAGGAGAAGGCAAGGGCAGAACACACAGAGCAGTCGGAAGGCTTCTGCCATGACAACACAGCCTTTCCTTGTGCCACAGGCTCTCAAGCGAAGGATGACTATGAGAAGCAGCAGGTAAGGTGCTTTACATAGGTCATCTAGGCATTGCACACTCTAAAGAGGTCCCTCAAATTAAATCAACATTATGAGGTGAGGGCAGATGTAATCTCTCTCTGCTACCATTTAAAGTGCTGTGTTTTTCTTTCTATCCAGCTGTCTGTTTACTATGGTTTACAAATCCACATGTCTGATCACTGAGTAAAAAAAAATTGGTGTATGATCTATGGAAAGAGAACTTTGAATTTCTACAAATTTCACTTTCAAAACAATTTATGATCCATTTTTGACCAAACTAAGGTGACATAATACTAATTGAGTACTAATTGAGGAACAATGGGTAAACTGACTTTTCCATCTGGGGATCGTGGAATTAAATTCATCCTCCACATGGTGTACAACAGATTTGATTTGTTGATTCATTCCAATGATAAATGAAATCATCAGTATCAATGCAGGTAATATCAGAAAATGTCCTAAGATATATATTTGTGTCCGTTTGTGCCTACACACACACTTTCTCTCTTTAGTCAAGCTCAGTTCAGAATACGAGAACAATATGAGAACAAAAAAAAGGAGTATCCACAAAATGTGAAGGATAATACATCAAATTTCCTCAAGAAATAATTTAAAAAACAGGATAAATGGAATAAAGGGTAGCAGGCAGTCTCGCCCTGATATTTCTCCAAGGCAGTTTAAAGTAATAGTTGTGTATACAAATGGATACCCAGTTCTGGCCTTCCGATGCTCTGAAGAGGCAAATGGACACATGATTCCTATAAATTGTAATGCTTTCTTTTAGTTACTACAGACCTTCATCTTCAATGCCCTCTTGACATCTGATTTCTCCTCATGGTTTCTCCTGTAATATCTCAAAGAAGTTTGCTGGGTGGTATACAGGTTATTTGATACACAATGGGAAAAGTCTGGTCAGCAAAAGGACAGGATATAATAAAAATATTTGCAGACAAATCACTCACACATATACACACAATCATTATACAAATCTCCTACACACTCTGTGTTGGAAAGCTTTTGGACTCCCAAAATCTCTGGTCATGCTTACTGAAGGATTCTGAAATCTGTGTTCCAAAAATTAACCTTTCTAACCTCTGCTTACCCCACAAAACCTATTCAGGATCTTTGCTTACCAGCCCCAGTCCTCTTTGTTTAACAGGGTTGCCCCACACAAGGCCAGACTAACCAACTGCTACTCCACTTCATTCATCAATCTCAACCACACTGTCCAGTTTGCAGCCAGTACTAATCACTGGTTGCTCACCGACCCTCAGCTATGCCCATCTAAGGTCTTCTAATCTTAACCATGAATTACAGACTTGTCATTTTCAAGACTGCATGCTCCTCAGATTGGCCCACTGCTTTTTAAACTCTTGTGCTTTTAAAGGCTGCCCAGCAAGCAGTATTTATTTATTTATTTATTTATTTATTTTGAGGTTTTATATACCGACCCTCTCACCTTCAAAGAGGGATTCGGACCGGTTCACAACATGTGTTAACATACAAAAAATATACAATAACAACACAATGCCACTTCATTACACGATTAAAATAAAACATTATCATCCCAGTTAAAAGAGTCAAATCGTCCGACACCATCACAATCCCATTCATCATCCTCCTTTCATGTGGGCAAAGAATTAAATCAGTTGTCAAATGCCGCGTTCCACAACCAGGTCTTTGTTAGTTTTCTGAACGTCATGAGGGAGGGGGCAGTTCTGATTTCTAATGGCAGGGAGTTCCAAAGTCAAGAAGGTATTCCATTGAAGGTACATTTTTAAAATGATAGATTTGTATACAGGGGAGTAAAAAGTGGGGTTTCATATAGTCATTAAGCAGGCATTTTTCCACAAAAAGCAATCCACATGAGAGCTATATCTTCATTCCATGTGCAGCACTCCAACCCATTTTCAACTCGATAACATCACACTCACCTGTTTGAATTCAAACTGGTCTTGAAAGCCACACAATTTCCTCTCCCTGAAGTCACCTCAAAACAATGCAGAACATGCATTTCTGGCATGTTCATGTGTTCGCTCTATGAAATTACTTAAGGTCAAATTAGTGCAGTGGGATTTTTGTTCTTCTGGCATGGATGTGAATATAACCAATAGCCTTTCTTGTCAGTCAGTCAGTCTTACCACTCACTTTCACAACCATTGGATGGCTCCCTCATCCTATCCCATTCTCCAACCATGAGTATGTGAGGAAACTTTAAACACTGTGGTGTAAACCGAATGAGTAGGTGTTTAATTCTCTCGACACAGATACACATGCACATGAGACAGAAGGTGGATGGTGTGCAGGTCTGTGGTGAACAGAAGTAGCCTGGATGAACAGAAGATGGCAGGAACCAAATTGAACCAAACTTGGCACACAGAACTCCCATGACCAAAGAAAACCCATCCAGAGGAAGGGTTTGATGGGCATTGACATTGAGTTTTGGAGTTGTAGTTCACCTACATCCAGAGAGCACAATGCTGGATCTGGACCAAATTTGGCACAGGTACTCAATATACCCAAAAGCAAACACTGGTGCAGTTTTGGGAAAATAGACTTTGACATTTGGGAGTTGTGGGTACTAGGATTTATAGTTCACCTACAATCAAAGAGCATCCTGAACCCCACCAATGACAGAATTGGGCCAAACTTCCCACACAGAACCCTCATGACCAACAGAAAACACTGTATTTTCTGATGCTCTTTGGTGACCCCTCTGACACACCCCTCACGACCCCCCCCCCCAGGGGACCTGACCCCCAGGTTGAGAACCACTGGCCTAGAATCTCCTAGCCAGTAGCAATAGTAACTTTGTCAAGCTGTAGCATGCTGCAGCATCCTAGAGAACAAAGTTGTAATCAAAGGACATATCCTGAGGAGTAAATCCCCTGGAGGTCAGTGTAACCACCAAGTACACAATAACAATAAACAACCTCATCAGACGGGGCTTACTTTGGCAGCATACACCAGTTCATTCCAAGTTGATTCACAGAGCCTGCCAGCTCCCATCTCACAATGCAGAGGAACTTCTGTTGGTCATCTAGGGCTCTGTGGTTCATTTAGAGAGGAGCTGGCATATGACACCCCCACAATGGAAGCAATTGGGGGAAGCCATGCAGTCGATGCTTCACCCCATGGGATCAGCTTCCTGGCAAGCGGGGCAGTGCAAGGTGTGGGGCTATGGGTTCCTCACCCCTCCCCGATGGCAGTGGCTAGTTTTGCCACAACACGTGGCAATTCCAGATGCTTGTGTAAAGAAGTCGCAAGTCCAGTTAAACTTCCATCCAGGGCAAATCCTATGCTTGCTTGCTTGCTGTGATGTCCCAGTGACCTCAGTGGCATTTACTCCCAAGTTAATGTGGTTGTAATTGCAGACTTAGTGAGACTTCTCACTTGAATAAATATATAAAGGATTGCACTGGAATTCACATTGCCCTCGGGAGAGTCAGGCTATTCTCAGAAGCACTTATTGAACTGAACCATGACACCCAATTGGCATTATCTGGACCATTGCTTGTTAATAGTGTGACCTTGCATAGTCTCCTCTGCACTTTCTGCAGATACCTTTGCTTTATGACACACACACATCTTAATGACTGACAGTAAGAATTTCTCAGAGCAGAATGGCAGTCGTTAATGTGGCCAAGTGACATTTTGACATCTAAACAGTCAAAATTTAATAGCTGGAAGTCAGGAGTGGAAAATCACAAAAGTAAATCTTTCAAGTTCTACTGTTATCAATCTGCTATGAGAGCTGCAGTGTATTCAGGTACTGAGTGTTCTACTATCTGTTGCAACTAACAGCCCTGTCCTGGAGGTTCCTTATCAATAAGTCTGTGCTCTTTAAACCCATACTTAGAGCACAACTGTGCCAAAGATAATGGCAGTGAATTACACTAATTTCTGTAATGGTTTTCATCTTGCTTTTGTCCCACTTAGTCCACTGGGACTTTGGCCCCCCATAAAACTTCCTGTTAGCTTAGCTCTTATATTTCTTGTCTGGGGAAAGAAAATGTAGGAAGCTAATGCTTGCTTAACTATATATGTAACCATGTCTTGAATTACATACTGTATAGCTATATAGTAGAAAGATTAAAATAATTCAACTAAAAGGTAAAAGGCAGCAGAAGATAAGAAAGAATCATTGATGATGTGTGCCTTCAAGCTGTTCCCTACTTAGGGAAAGCCTAAGGTGACCCTGGATGAATTACACACACTTACAACCCCCAAAAACCTCATGGTGAGGTCACCTTAGGGTCGCCAAAAGTCACACAACAATAAAGGCAAAACTATCATGGGGTTTCCTTGGACAGATTTGTTCAGAAGAAGGCTGCCATCCTCTGAGGCTGAAAGGGTGTGACTAACCCAATGGATTTTCATGGCCATGCAGAGATTTGAATCTTGGTCTCACAGAGTTCTAGTCCAACACTAAAACCATTTACCACATAGCTCTCAACTTAGAATAATCATTCATACACATATTTCCTTAAAGGTAAGCATGAGCCAGATTAAATATTGGCCTAGAACTAAGAGAGAGAAAGATTCAAATCTCTGCTCAGCTATGAAGTCTCTTGGGCAGATCACATGCTTTCTAACTTAAAAGAAAAGTGATGGAAAATCTCTGGATAAATATTGGCAAGAAAAGTATAGAATAGAGTCACCATAAGTAAGCATCAACTTGAAGATACATCATAACAATATCTTCAAAGTCTCACTTGAGTAACTGTATAAAGGAATGGTGAGATTAGTGCCTAGTGAGTTCCTAAACATACATGCCAAGAGAAAGAAAGAAGAGAGAAACACTGAATTCTGAAGAACCACTTACAATCAAATATGCATAGCTAACTATTCCTGTATTGAACGCATTTAATGCAAACAAGTAACTTTCACACCAATGTGGAATTATTTATACATGGAACAGGGACACTATTGTATGAGTATTTCTAACGAGGTATTGCACATGCTATTGATTAATGAATTGTCATTTACAGTTTTACTGTATTTTCTATGTTATTCTCCTTTGACTGATTTTTCCCTCTTAACTAGGCAATTCTCTCCCTGATTATGAAATCAATGCAGGAAAATAATACCGCCATGAACAAAGTTCTCCAGCAGCTCCAAAAAAGTGCTGATCAAATAAAGGTTTGTGCCCTAAAATAATGCTAGGCATCTTTCTGAAATGGTAAGTGGAATACCAGTATATCTCTGGTATTTACCGCTGCTGCCATTCCAGTAGTTTTCCTTCTGAGTATGGAGCAAAATAAATTTTCACCAGTGATTTCCCAAATCCACTGAGGCAAGCAATACTTTGAGCTGGATCAAACTGAGTGCACTTTCCCCAATACTGGATTAAATGTCTGGCTTAATATCTTATGTATGGCATCAACTCCATAGTCTATGGATGGCCTCTTCCTTTTTTTTATAGAGCAATAAAAAAACATTGACAGACCAGCTGTCAAAAGTCTTCCAAGAGATCAAAACTCAGGTGGATCAAAAAGAGAAGCAGATCATCAGTGATATCCAATCCAATGAGAAAAAGCAGTTGGCGAAGATTGTTGTCCTGCAAAAGCAAATGGAAGAAAAAAAGGATGCAGCTCTCCAGAACCTTCAAGAGCTACAGGCACTGAGAGAGCAAACGGATGCTCAGCTATTCTTCCAGGTAAACTTTGTCTTCACTTCAGTTAGTAAAGTCTTGTTTACTAGACTCCTTTGATCTGTTTGCACTCAAGCCAATTTCTTCTTCTTCCCCTTAATTGCAGGGTTTTCAGCTGCTTCAGGAGAGGTAACGTCTACATTATACCTTTGCCAGCATTTGCATGTCAACATAAATGACACCTCACTGTATATGTAAATGATTTAAAAAAACAATGGCCTATTAAATAAAATCATTCTCAGAGGAAAATTAACAACAAACTTAAACAGGGCTAAATCCAGTTATGAATCCCAGATGGAAGAGATCTCTGGCAGGGGTCCTCAAACTTTTTAAACAGAGGACCAGGTCACAGTCCCTCAAACTGTTGGAGGGCCGGATTATAATTTGAAAAGAGCATGAATGAATTCCTATGCAAATTGCACAGATTTTATTTGTAGTGCAAAAAAACACTTAAAAACAATACAATAATTAAAATGAAGAACAATTTTAACAAACTTGTTAAACTCTGAAAATTATGTGACTTCAGATATGGTTTTCTAAGTTTATAGGGGTCTTATTTCTAAAGGAATATTAGAATGTAGGAAACACAGTGTAGATTAATGCATAGCAATGTCTGCAAGTATTAGGTTGTTGTGTAGCTTACTTGCTTAATTTGATACTTAACAAATAAATAAAGATTATTTATTGACCAGTGCCTCCTACATATAAGAATATAATCAGTTCTTCAGAATATTAATTATGGTATTGCAATATGGCACTAGTAATATCAATACTATATACACTAATCTCCTATTGGTATCCTATTGAAAAACAGAGCAGCTAATGTTAGGAGTGGACAATTACAATTAGAATTGACTGACTGATTGATGACCTCTTGTGTATGCCAGGGTTAAGAAAGAGAATTTCAGCACTGACAGTGTGGAAGTCTTAACAGTGCATCTGGATCAATCTGACATTCAAATTGTTCGAAACCACACAGCAGTTTATATCTCCAACCTAGACACACTGATGCAAGTGGTACATGGTAAGTCAACTTATCTTACCATCCAACCTCAACAACGCAAAGAGGAAATTGTATTCATTGAAAATGTAGATGACATGTTCCAGGGCTCTGCCTGGTAAAGAAGGCAGAATTTAACCAAAACAACGCCCAAATTGTGCCAACACAAGCTTTACTGAAAGCAAGAACTGAAACACTTAGGACTTATCATACTGAGGTCCTCCAGAAGGCTCCATCCTCCCAGCATCCTGCAAGTGTCCTAGGACACTAAAATTTTGTAATGTGATGTGGTCTTTAGTCTCTTCAATGTCAACTTCAAAACATGAAGATAGCACATGAAATATGCACAAATACTATATTATTCATATTCTCACAATTCACACATTTACCGTAACATACTTCTACAAACAGTTTGAGTTGTCCTGTGTATATCCTCCATCTTTTACCTTTATCATAGGGCTACAACCATACTTTTTTGATTATTTGTAGATACAAACAATACTATCTAAACAAAATGTCCTTTGCAGTTAATCTAAAAACATAAGTGCTGATGGCCAATAAGAGGTTTAATTAAAGGGAATTGGCAGGACAGATCCTTTGCACACTATATATATTTTCTTGCAGAACACTGTTTGTTTGTATCGTAGAGTCTCGCTTATTCGACATAAATGGGCCAGCAGGATGTCAGATAAATGAAAATGTCTGATAATATGGAGGCTTCTGGTAGATGATGAAGTCCATATCTCTATTCTGGCAGAGATCAGTGGTGAGTGAGATGGTTTTCCAGACACAAAGAAAGAACTCACTCACCAGTGATGGAAAAAAGAGCAACAAACAAGGAATTGTAGTGAAAAGATAGATAATACATGTACACCTATCCTCAAGACAATTGCCCATCCTCATTTTCTTTTCTCTTGCCATATTTTCTACGAACTCTCTCATAGCCATGGCCCCTCCTTCCAACTCGGTCTGAACCTTTGGTGCATGGGGGGGCGGGGGCTGAACCATTATGCTCTGGCTCCTCCTTCGGAGTCTGCACCGTGGTACTGGCGAAAATGGGGAAGAAGGAAACTAAAAACATGGCCTCTAAAGGTGAAATGCTGGGGGTAGGGGCATTGGATAAGAGTGTTGGATATAAGCGAGACTCTACTGTATGTATTCCTCACAACAACTGTGTGAAATAGGTCAGGCTGAGAGAAGGTAGAACTATTTTTTATGGAGAGTGCCATGACTCAGTTTGAACTAGAATCTGAATCTCCCAAGTCCCAGTCCAAAAAGTCTAACCAGGATACCCACATTGACTCTCTGGCAGAGCAGAACATCTGAGAAAGGATTTGCCATGCTGGGTGATTTGTAATCACTCACAGTTGACTGCATATGTACATTTTATTTCAGAACAGGGTGTGTACACACAACTCCCAAATTTTTGTCCTATATTCAACGTCATGACGGTAATTTCAAATCAAGCTCTCAAATAAGCATAAGGTATCTGCCATTAAATAATTACTTGCCCAACAGCCTTCCAGAACCTTTAAAAGAGCATCTCCCCACACTGTTGCTATATACCTTGTTTTAATATAGAAGTGATTTTTTAAAAATGGTATTCTGCTGCTGTACAACCGAATTTCTGTTGCATGCAGAGGAAGGATGCAGCCACAAGCAGATTTGAAAGCACGTTCTGCTTTAGTAGAATATTGCTAGATCTTGATTGTGGGATGGTGGAGGAGTTATTTAACTCTTCAAAGACTGAGACTATGAGAAACCCCTCCTACCACTATCTGGAGCTAGCCTCATTGTTATGAATAAGATGAACTGAAAATATGCCGGTTTAGAGAAGAACTAGAGAATTGGGTTTCCAAAGTAATTAAGCCTCTTTTAAATATCATACTCCCTTAAAGTGAATAGTCTGTTTCAAATACTTGCCAACTCTGAAAAACACCAAAAATTGCATATTTAGAATACGTTGGTGTATTCAGGTGAGAAATATGAGAAATACACTGGAAAGAAGATGGATGAGGGATGGTACAGTTCTAGAAATATGAAGGAGGCATCCAAGTCAGGCCAATTTTTCACTTTCTCCCTTCTCCCTTCTCCTCCTGATCTCATGGCTCATTACCCAGTTCTGAACATAATTTCAGAAATGTCACACCTATGGAAACTCTTCATACAAAATCTGCCCTGGCAAAAATATTCAGGAAGTATTTCTCCACAAGAGGAGTTTTGCATTGATTTCCAATTTCATCCTACTTTCTTATGTTTTGCAGGAAAAATCATTAACCAAACACAATGGAGCAGGTAAATTCTTTTTTTTATTTCTCCCTTTATGCTTCACGTCATACCTGGCAACATATTTTCCATTCATTAGCAGATGAGTTTCAGAACTTGTGAGTGAAAATATATAGGAATTAATATTGCAAATATGTTGTTGAAAAATAAGCTGAGCTATTCATTTCAGGTTAGAATCAAGAATATGACAGAAATTCTATTTAAAGATGAATTCACCAACTATCAGGAAAAACAGAGAAATACTTATGGATCAGTATTTACATGGCTTAGGCACAGTGTAGATATCAGGTCTGGGTCTACCGTGGCCCTCCCATTTCCCTGTGCCCATCAGTGCAGGGAAAAGGGGACAGATTGGGCCAATATTACTGCCATCGCCAGATGTCCACAGAACTCTGTGAGAGTTCTCAGCCATCAACAGTGCCTTGAACTGACTTCAGAAGAGGCGCATGTGCCCATCCCCATCCACCCTCCTTCTTCCTGGTTGTATATGAGTGTCTGGTGATGTCAGCCCCTACAATGGCCAGGACCCTTCACAGAGCTCTGCAGCCATTTTGCAATGGTAACATGGATGGTCAGGTAACAGTCCAGCTGCTGTGGGTTGGATGGAGTAAATGGTTCCCATCCATCCTCCCACATCCCCATACCAGTCCAAAGCAAATACAGCTAAAAGTCAACATCATACAAAACTTAAAAAGAGAGTTCAAATCAGTTTAAAACATGGCTCTTAAAATATGCAATATTACACACTAGAAAAAGACTGTTTTGCTCCTGAGCAATATCTTCTCAGAGGCCTGCAAAAACCAAGAGTTCGCTTGCTTAATTTCCCTAGGAAAAGAGCTCCAGATCCTGTAAACAACCATTGAGAAGATACTCTCTCATGTTCCCAAAAGAGGTGCCTATGAAAACGTTGGCACAGATCTCAAAACACGGACACACTCATTTGATCATAAAAAATCTCAAAACATGGGCAAACTCATATGATCTGTTAATTCTCCTTGGAACAAAGGGAGTGCAGGATGATGAAGTTCCCTTCCCCACTGTTCAGATCATGGGCTGCTGCTATTCCAAAAAGGCTTATCTGACTCCAACATTATCATGGGATGTTCTTCATTGATCAATTTTTAAAGTTTGTGCTTAGACCAATTGATGACCCCCATTGTTTGTTCTTGTTGGGAGATGGTGCTTTGTATTATATAGAGATTAAGAATTCTTATTCAAAATTCCAAAAACTCTAACATCCCAACTTGTTTCCTTTGAGTAGCTGGGATAGAGGCACTTATGATTTCTAATGATTCGGTGTTCATAAACTTTGCTTCATGCACAAACGTATGAAAAAACATTGTCTGTAAATTATCATCAGGCTAAAGGTATAAGGTGTATATGGTCTGGATGTTTCAGATGATGAATACCCAGTCTGTACTTTAAAAAAAAATCTTTGTGTATTATATCTGTAAGACATCTAGAACATATGTCAGAAAATCATATACATGCAATGGAAATGATAATGATATCAATTAATTATATTACTATCACCTGATTGATTAGATAGGTTTAAACATAAAGTATTGCTCTATAAGTTAAGCAAAGGGGTGGGTAATGTTTTGTATTGTGTTTGGGCAGTTGTATATTAGGTGTTGGTACTTTATCACAATTGCTCCTCTTGGGGGGAGAACTAAGTCAGTGATCTGCCCTCTTCAGAACAGGCATGCAACGTGGTGTGGGAAACCCACAACGGAAATCAAGACATATCAGAAATTCATTTTGTTGTGTTCAATGGGTCCTTCTTCTAAATGGATTGTATAAAACTACACTGTGCAACTCCTGCTGAATGTAGAATTTCATTCAAAGTTCCATGATGCTTCTGTCTTACTCTATGTTCTATATATTTAACTGTTCCTCTGTCACATTATCTTCGTTCCACATCCAGGGTAATTCCAGCTGCAGAATTCTCTCTGGAAGGTAGGTATTTTAAATGTACTTATTTTAAATGTGCTAATTTTCAGTAAACTCTCCAGTTTTGACATGCACTCATTATTTTGGGCAGAGTTCTATTATTAGTGTTTATTATTACAGTGAGCAAGAGATCACCTTCTCATGGTCTGAGGTTCAGCATGCCTTTTAGAATTAATTTATACACATACTCATTTGTCAGTACATCCTTTTGAGTTAAATAGCTTGTGGGTTTGATCAGTCGCTGTGTGAAAAAAGTTTTGTGCAGGGCTGTATTCTCTTCAAAGACATTCTGCTAGTTGTTCTCTTTGTTTCACTCAGATGTGATTTGTGAAGTTTTCCCATCACCACCGCCACCGCCATCTGAGAATAGATCCTGAATAAACCCAGGTAAAGCAGAAAGGAAAACTCCATGGATTAAGTACAATTGAACAGTGTGCCACCATAGGTCCCCAAGAATTTCAAAATTTGACATGTTTTATGTTAAATACAATTCTAAAAAATAACATTTTAAAAATAATGTGTCAGAAACTCTAGTTACTACACTTAATTGCCCTGGTTGTTATACTTAACCCACAGATATTTGACCCACAATGCTGACGTCTTGCCATCTATTTAAATGAGTCTCACAAATCACAACTGAAAACCAGTACTCATGGTTTTATCTGCTCACACTTGACAAAATACGTCATCTCTAGGAATTTGCTAGGCCCTCTAGGCTATCCTATAAGTGGATGCAAATGGATGGCATGCTTGTGCCAGAAGTTAGCATAGAGCTATGCTGGAGGACCTAGCAAATTCCTGGAGAGAATGTCATAAAGTAAGACTTTATAGTGACTTCTAGCAGAAGTTTTTCATTTCAGTATGGTTTGCTGTTTTCATGGTTTCCTGTTTCCACATTAAATTCAGAAACATATGGATAGGGGGGGGGGGTGTCATGCTGTATAATCCTTCCATTTGTTTATAAACAATATACTAGATTCCCTCTTGATATTTGTCTCGTAGAATGTACATGTCTTTTGCTCAGAAACGGAGATAGCACATTTACAAGAGAGAACTTAAAGGCAACCTCTGATAAATTTATCTCATAGTTAGATCTATGAGGAATAGCATGTAGTCTATGAAGCCACATATAGGTTTTGGCAGAACTTCATGTGAGGTGGGGTGGGGGGAAGGAATGGTGGGTGCAGAAATACAAGTTTTCAATGCTACAAATTTTACCTGCTATAGCTCTGGATGTGTAAGCTACTTTTTGTAGCACCTGAATAGCTGCAATCTAAGACCTTTCCTAGGAAAGATGTCTCCACCTCATTTCCTATCATTTTGTCATGCTCCTCCCTCCATTAGTAGACGGTTGCAGTCCATCCACAAGGATAAAAACTGGATTTGATTATTTTATATTTTGATCATGAAGGAGTTTAAAATTCTTGTGTGTTCAATTTTTAATGACCTTTCCCCTCTCTCCAAAGGTGCTGAAAATCAGAAATAGGAAACAAGATCTCTCTTGGATTATCTCTCTTTCTCTCCAGAAACTAGAAGACATTAAATAGGAATTTTATCGGACCTCGACCTCTTACTAAATGTTCTCTTCTCAAAATTTTTCTCTTGGAGCTGTCATTTTTGAGAAGGAGATATAAACAAAGACTTTAAGAAGTGTGTTGGAAGCACCACATGTTTTTTAATAACTGCCTTGATATTAAAGGAACACAACAGGCTGTTCCCCATAGCTAAGCAACGTTCATTTAGCAAGTCTATCCAATAATACAATTGCCTATAAAAAGTGCATATGATTCCAGAAGAGATCCAGCTGGAAATGAATGGTAGAAGATGCCTAATACAATTATATGATGTCTTAGAACAAACATACACACAGATTGCTGTTGGGTTCCTATTTAGGTGAAAATGGCATAGTAAATATGCCACCTGCTATATGATTGGCGGTGCTCTCCTTCTGTGTTGATCTGGAGATGGCAGGATGTTAAGAATTGCAATCAAGTCTTGTTTCCCTTACTCTGTTATTTTGATATATGTACTAAGAATGAAGCTTTAAAACATGGAACAATGCTTGTAAACAGCTATTCATAATTTTTGTGTCAGACTGTCAAAACATTTTTTTCAAAGGATTCTACACTCTGGGCTAATGTGCTCTACAACCCCCCTTAAATGCTGTCTCACCGCCCTCTCTGTAAGCAGTTATTTTGCGTCAAATATAGCTGTGTTAATTTGTTTGACAACATAAACTGAAAAAAGTGCTGGTGGATGATTATTTTTGCTTTTATTGTTCAAGTGAAAGAAATCAAATGGAATCAATTGCTTTGCAGACATAACTCATGCCTCATTAACTCCTTTGCTGATGGAAATAAAGTTTTGGGGTGATGAGTAGCATAGAATTAAGACCTTTGAAAGAGTAGATATGTGTTACAGACTGACTGGACTGATATTTAATTGTCTGTAACTTAAATACGCATTATTGATTCCTTATGTGTTGGCTTTCCACTCATTTTAAGAGAGTCCATTGCAAAGAGACTGCTAGGCGGAATGAGTAGCCGTGTGTCCAAAATCCTTTTGCCCATTGGGCTGGGAGTAACATGTGAACCCCCCCCCCCCCAAGCATCTTGGTTATAGATCAGGGGAACAGACTGGTTTTCTTGGAAAAACTCAAACTAGGGAAACACTGTTTTGGGAACCTTATCTTTAGGATTTTGAAAATGTTCACTGAAAATGTACTGATGCAACACTTTCCTGGGCTGCTGACTAGAGCATGATTTCTCCAGAGCAATATTTCTGAACTTTAAACAAACTTTTTATCTCCTACTACTTCTAGGAGAAAACATTGGGAGGGAGAAGCTGAAAGGCTGTGTGCTGAGGTTTTCCATCCCTGAATTAAAGTGCTATATGAACTGCAGTTGAGAAAGTTCCACTGCATACCACTTGAAGCATGCTTTATGACAAGCAGTACCAGTTCTCTCCCCAGTCCTGTGTTGTATTGTGACACTAACATCAGTGCTTAACTTGCAAGACTGAGAGAGAATTAACGAGATGGAGAATCTGAAGCTATCTCTACTTATTCTCCAAGCAAACTGTTCTGCAGGGAGCCCTCTGATTTGGCCATTACACTTGACTGTGATAAGTCTGAGAATCACTAGTTCAAAGGTAAGCAATGCTCAAAGCTCCAGGGGCCACATTTACTGCCTTGGGACCTCAAAGGATCACTCGCAACACATTGCAAAAGAAAGGAGGTCTTAAAAGGGCAGTCATGCTCCAAAAACACCTAACACAGATGAGCCAGGGAACAAAAATGGGGAGAAGATGAGGAGACGTGTTTCTGAGTGGACAACCATGGCCCCACAGGGATCAAAAAGATTCTGAAATGTTTGATGTATATTGGTATGGAGAGTGTATGTAGTTCATCTGGCACAGTTTGCCTATATCTTGGCGAACTCTTTCTCTAGGCTTTGTGTTGCCAATAGCTGGAGGGATGATGATTGTACAGAAGTTGATTGTAAATGATAAGATTATAACTGTATTGGTGTTTGCACTGGTTGCCCTAATGCTGGAGCGGCCTAGCTGTGAGGAGTGTGTTACCATGGAAACGATGCTGTAGAGAAGTGGGAGGAGCTTAGAGAGGGGAGTTTTTGAAAAGCGACAGTTAAAGTCAGTCAGGGTTTAGGCTCAGAGGAATGAAGAGTCAGGGTTTAGGCTCAGAGGAATGAAGAGTCAGGGTTTAGGCTCAAAGGAATGAAGAGTCAGGGTTTAGGCTCAAAGGAATGAAGAGTCAGGGTTTAGGCTCAGAGGAATGAAGAGTCAGGTTTTAGGCTCAGGGAAGTGAAGTGTT